TGAAGCAGACAGAGCATTACTATGAATTGAGCGATGCTGTGGTCCGTCCAACCCCCCCCCCCCCCCCCTCCCCCCCCACCCCTTCCCCTAGCATTCCATTTTAGAACACTCGTATTTATTTTATGGAGGCTCCGAGACCAGTCCCTCTCACCCAAATTTCTTGTAAGCAGATCTTGCCTTCCTGTTAACGGGGGGAGGAGGGAGACAAGCCAAATGTGTAAGTATGGAATGTGCCATCTGAGGAACGGATGTTGTGGGTGGTTTTTATCCCTATTTCCTTGAGCAAGTGGAAACAAGTGAAATGCTATTTGATCTCTTTCGAATGTTACTGTACACACAAAGCAGCACTGTGTTCACCCTGTTACATTTAAGTCAACCTGCAAGTCGAGCATAAATGAGAAGGACATACACAGACTAGAAACCTTAATATATTTTGGAAAATTGGTCAGCAGTTACTTGGTAGCACACACACACACACATAAACCCAGTGATTTTGGAGTAGTATTTTTTTCCTGGCACTCTAATTTCCCCTCAGCCTCACAGCCACATGCTGAGGCTCCTTAGTTCTCTAAGTGGAGACCTTCACATTTAGAATGTTTCCTGTCATTCTGCATGGAGCCATTAGCACCCCTTCCACACTTTTGTTTGTTTTCTTCGAACAATGATTAAGAGGTTAAGAGGTTGTACTCAAAGCACAAAATAATAAAGCAATTCCGATCCTGTTTTCCAAGTCCCCCTCACATTTCTATCTCCAATCACACAAATACAGCCCCATCTTCTAAAGCCACAACATCAGAGACTAAGAACTCATTGGAGTGCATTAGGGCAGGGAATTGCCAGGGACCTCACGAAAGTATATTATTATGATACTTCTGGCTGATACGATATGTATTGCGATTATCACGATTCTATATGTATTGTGATTTAATACTGTGATTTATTGCGATTCGATGAGAAAACAAGTTTTGATCAGTAATGGTAATAAAAGTGCTGAAAGCAAATTGGCTCTTTATTTAAAAAGATGGAGAACAAGCTATGAAGGAAAAATACTGGAGTTTTGGTGCAGGTACAGCCAACTAGCGCAAAAATAATATTGCGATATTGTCAAAACGATACGATATATCGTCATAAATAATATCCCGATATGTAACTATCAATTTTTTTCCAGCATCACTTGAGTGCATATAATGTATTTGGACCCGTTGGGGAGCCTGCACTGAGCCAGAATAGCCGGAATGTCGTCTATAAATTTCTATAGGATTTATCACCTTGGTTCAGCCAATTACCTCAAGCCCAGTTCCCAGTGCAGACACTGGGTCAGTGAAATTACATCATATGGGACCCTGAGCAGTGACCCTAACTTCACCCCACCCTCTTACACAGTTTTTATGACCCCCTCAACCCCATCCCCCGGCCTGTCCCGCCCCCTCGTACCTCTTAACCTCTCCCTGGCATTCATCCTCTTTTTCCTCCTCCCAAATAAACCTGCCACCTGCCCAGCTCCCCATTGGCCTGCCAGGGACCATGTGATCATGGGGCTCAGTTTACCAGCTCAGGACTAACCTCAGGTCAGCTGCCCAAGTACTGTTCTCTCTACCTTCTCTAGCTCATGTTTCACCACTGTTGGCTATTTGTATTTTGTTGATTTCATTTCTTGGCCATTTCTAATCCAGGCATTTGATGAATTGCAGCTACTTGCTAGATGACAGTAACAATAATGATTTACTATAAAATGGCATAGAACGTTTTGGACATGTGTGCAAGAAAAATCGAATAGATGGCACCAGCAGTCAGTTGGCCAGTTGCAGGACCTATCTCTGCAGAGTGCTCTGGAGTCTACTTTCTAGACTGATCGATGGGCGGCTGGGTGGGGAGACAGCCAGATTATGGCAGGATAAATAGAGACTGAGGGTACGGCACAAGCAATCCTTCAGACTCTTTCAGACACAATGGATTCTGGGAAGCAGGTTGCTTCCCATGTTGACTCTTTCTCCTCACATAACATTCACATAGTGGGGACTTGACACAAGAGTGATGAAAAATTCGGCAAGAAAAATGTAAGAAAAAAGGAGGCATACTCGACACTCACAACATAACGTCTCCATCCCTTTTCATTGTTGTCAGAGTGAGGTTTAGTTCATTTTGAGTGAGTGCAAAACCCAGCACCTCAGTCCAACAGCCAGATGATGTCAGACAGGGGTGTCATTATCACACTTAACTCTGTGCCTGTCCATTTGGCCTGTCAATCACTCAGACAACAGAGGGCCAATCCCCATTTCACTAAGTAGCAGTCTCCCTATCATCAATCATCCAGCCCTCCACTTGAAACACTGTACTGTAGTGGATAGATGGTGTAGCTGCTCTGTTTGGGAGAGTTCTAACTTCCTAATGGAATTGCCTGGTACCTGGTGTGTGATATAATGGTCTGTGTATTCTAGCTGTAACTATTTGGGTTGCGGAGAGGTTATTCAGTAGGGTGTCCACCCACTCTGCCCAGAGTGGGTGAAAATGCGCTTTGGTGATGATATTTCTCTTCCTTATGTTTTAAATACAGTTTACCAAGACAAATATCATTATTCATGTTCTGAATCGTTCAGTGGGGTCTTTCTCTAACATATCATTAACATTATATCCAAAAAGTTTGGTTTCGTAACCTATTACATCTGATAATAAGCACAGAGCTCTCATGTTGTGGTGGTAGTCTGTTTCCACGGTGCGCAAAAAGAGAAATTAACATGACACGAACTGAATTAAACGTAAAAGGATTTGAAAATAAAAAGCTGCCGGTACGCTCAGTGCTCCATTCACATTTCACAGAGATACGCTTGTTTTTGTGAGAAATCTTCAAAAAAGAAAATGGATTTCGCATTAATATGAAAAGCGTATTCTAAAATATGAAAATACTACATGTCATGTTTTATGTCCTCCGGATTCAAGAAGAAAGATGACGAGTTCAACGGTCAGTTAGCCTTAATCTTAATCCTCGCACAGCCTCCAGCCTAGCTGACTAAATGATATTTTCCAGATTTTTGACCAGATTTTTCTCTGGCCTCCATTGAATTATTCACCCTAATTTTGGACATCCTGCAAGGGTAAAAACTCCAATAACCTTTGAACGGATTATGATAGAGAAATTAGGTTTGGACCATTGGTTTTCTTAGAGGAGTATTTATTTTACCCATTGGTCAGAATATGCGTTTTCAATCGTGTTTCGGCCTTCTTTGCCTTGGTATTAGTACTAATCTGTGGGATTAAAACTCAGGCAGTCCAACACTGGATTTACTGTCTCTTGATGGTGGCTGTGTGCTTACTGCTACTACAGAAGAGCAGACAGTCTTTCATGTTGAATGGCCAGATTGACTAATCTGTGGAAATGCAGGTTCTCAGGCAGGACACGTTAGGGGATGGGGGGGGTGATGGGTTCTTTGTGTGCATTATTTAGCCTAGTTTCCCACTGGAGCTGGGTGGAATTATTCTCATCAATGGAAAATATATTGCTCTGACTGAATGTGCATTATTGTCATAGGTAGAAGAGCTCACTAATCCGGACTGTGAATCATATGCATAAAATACAATTTGATATATTGGACTGATATTACAATCATCTGCAAAGTAGGTATAAACGTGCCGGTAGCTCTTTAAGAAATTGTCGTTTGTGTGTAGAATGGGTTGAATCCTAACTGAATCCTAACATCAATGCATCATTTTCAGTAGGTTTACATTGACCGTGTGCATTTTGCCCTATGAGAGCCTTAATGCCGTATTATAAAGGAATGTTATAAAGGGTTGGTCATCTTTCTTCCTCTTGTTAACCAACCATCATCCCCTTTGGCTTCCTGGTTAGCACTGCAGCTGTTCCTGCATTATAAGTGTGCTAAATGTGAATAGAAGCATAAATGCATGTGTGTGGGCGTGTGTATGTGTGTGTGTGTGTGTGTGTGTGTGTGTGTGTGTGTGGGCGTGTGTATGTGTGTGTGTGTGTGTGTGTGGGCGTGTGTATGTGTGTGTGTGTGTGTGTGTGGGCGTGTGTATGTGTGTGTGTGTGTGTGTGTGATCTCAATTGCACACAAGCACAGTACTGTATGTTCTAGCACATAAAACCAATAATGCACTGTTTAATTTTCCAATGCGACAGACACAGTCCATATGGGCTGCTCCGACAGGCATTCTGTGAATTTGACACTATGTCTGTCTAAATATACACCACTCACGGAACACGTTTCATGTCCAAAGATATCTGGGACTCAGAACCATACCAAACATGCTCATACTAATAACATGTCATCTGTGGGGATATCTTTGTCATGTCATTTTTAGCCATGTTTGGATAAGGCCTACAGCTCTTGGAATAACTAACCAGCCCGCTTCCTTTAGTGAAATCCCCCTCCTCTGTTCTATCTAGGAGACCAGCTGTTTTAGACATAATGAGAAAGCGGGTACAGACATGTGATGTTGTTTTGGTTGCTATATTTGACCTGTATTGGATTTGCTTCCTCCTAGTTACGCTGTCTGTTGCCTGCCTGGGACATTAGAGGAGTCCACTGTTGTCCGGCTCACTCCTGCTCTACATGGAAATGTTATTTATGAATGTATTTGGATGTAGGCCTAGAGTAATGGGTCTCTATTTCTCTCAGTGTTGTGTCAGTAGGACCTATTTTGGTTCTATTGTTTTAACATTTGTGTAGTTCAGTCCTTGAGCTGTTCTTGTCTATTCATGTTCTGTATTTTGTCATGTTTCATGTTTTGTGTGGACCCCAGGAGAGTAGCCATATGTAATGAACAGACCAGGTCTCAGTCTGTCCAGTCTTCAGCTCAGACCTATCTGAGTCTCAATCCCAAAGACAATTAGGACAATCCAATCAAGGTTGCTTTGCTGCCCCACTTTAGCTCAGACAATGTGAATTAGAAAGGGAAGTAGCCTAGACAGCGCTGAATGATAAGGGAGGATTCTGAAGTCTAGACACTCAGAAGTTTGGTAGCATTGTGCATTGTATTTAGGCATGGTGCATGCACATGTAAGTCTGACACCAATCAGCTAAACCCAGCCCAGCTGTCATTTAGGAGGTGACCACCAGGCTTAAGCTAAATCATGGGACCGTCCTTCCTACACGGACATACCATGAGCACTGAAAAGAGGCCTATAGACCTATAGGCTTCCCCCTCACACCCCAACCCACCCCAGCCCTGGCTCAGACCTCTCTGCCAGAGAGGAAGGGGCGACGCGAGAGGTTTCACTCTCGCCAAAATCTGTTGAATAATAATAATAATAATATGCCATTTAGCAGACGCTTTTATCCAAAGCGACTTACAGTCATGCGTGCATACATTTTTGTGTATGGGTGGTCCCGGGGATCGAACCCACTACCTTGGCGTTACAAGCGCCGTGCTCTACCAGCTGAGCTACAGAGGAAAATAAACCCAATGCGTTTCTATGGGTTTATTTAGGACCCAAGCTTGTCGCCTGCCTTCCCGCCTTTAGGACAACGACTCCCATTGTTAGGGTGGAGCATCTGGTTATTATATACAGATCTCTGCTTCTGCCCACTCTCATACGTCCCACTAAGGCTGTTTCCCGGGTGAGCTCTGCCAGTTGGTGTGCCCTTGAGCGAGACAGAGCCCTTCTAAGCACACTCAGATCTAGGGATTACAGTGAGGGGTTTAGTAGGGGAAAGGAGTCTGAAATGCGAAACTGTTGTGTCTTGTTGCTGTGTATTTAATGCAATGCGATCATGCAGCATGCTGTGGTATTGTGTGACGGAAGCCCGGGGAAGTTCAGCTGGGGAAACTATTTTTGGCCTGACTGAGTGCACTCCTGTGTTTTGTTTTTAGATAATTCCATTTGAGATTTTAGTTTGTGCATCAGCAAATGCTAAAGGATTAGACGTTTTATCACTGCTTTCACAGCCAATAGCGTGACAGACATGAAACATTCAAACAACGAGCAGCTGGGACTGATTAAATTAAATTGATCGTACCCACATTGTACTTTAAATTTAACCTAGATATACAGTGCATTCAGAAAGTTTTCAGACCCCTTGACCTTTTCCACATTTTATTACATTCCAGCCTTATTCTAAAATAACACAATACCCCATAATGACAAAACGAAAACAGGTTTTTATAATGTTTTGCACATGTATTTAGTATTCAGACCCTTTTGAGGTGCATCCTGTTTCCATTGATCATCCTTGAGATGTTTCTACAACTTGATTGGAGTCCACCAATCAATTCAATTGATTGGACATGATTTGGAAAGGTATACACATGTCTATATAAGGTCCCACAGTTGACAGTGCGTGTCAGAGCAAAAACCAAGCCATGAGGTCAAAGGAATTGGCCATAGAGCTCCGAGACAGGATTGTGTCGAGGCACAGATCTGGAGAAGGGTAACAAAACATTTCTGCAGCATTGAAGTTCCCCAAGACTCTTCCTAGAGCTGGCCGCCCAGCCAAACTGAGCAATTGGTCAGGGAGGTGACCAAGAACCTGATGGTCACTGTGACAGAGCGCCAGAGTTCCTCTGTGGAGATGGGAGAACCTTCCAGAAGGACAACCATCTCTGCAGCACTCCACCAATCAGGTCTTTATTGTAGAGTGGCCAGACGGAAGCCACTCTTCAGTAAAAGGCACATGACAGCCCACTTGGAGTTTGCCAAAAGGCACCTAAAGGACTCTCAGACTATGAGAAACAAGATTCTTTGGACTGATGAAACCAAGATTGAACTCTTTGGCCTGAATTCCAAGCATCACGTCTGTAGGAAACCTGGCACCATCCCTGTGGTGAAGCATGGTGGTGGCAGCATCATGCTGTGGGGATGTTTTTCAGCGGCAGGGACTGGGAGACTAGTCAGGATGGAGGGAAAGATGAACGGAGCAAAGTACAGAGAGATCCTTAATGAAAACCTGCTCCAGAGCGCTCAGGACCTCAGACTAGGGCGAAGGTTCACCTTCCAACAGGACAATGACCCTAAGCACACAGCCAAGACAACGCAGGAGTGGCTTCGGGACAAGTCTCTGAATGTCTTTGAGTGGCCCATCCAGAGCCCGGACTTGAACCCGATCGAACATCTCTGGAGAGACCTGAAAATAGCTGTGCAGCGACGCTCCCATTCAACCTGACAGAGCTTGAGAGGATCTGCAGAGAAGAATGGGAGAAACAAATACAGGTGTGCCAAGCTTGTAGCGTCATACCCAAGAAGACTCGATGCTGTAATCGCTGCCAAAGGTGTTTCAACAAAGTACTTAGTAAAGGGTCTGAATACTTATGTAAATGTGATATTTCAGTTATTTAACAATTTAATCCATTTTAGAATAAGGCTGTAACATAACAAAATGTGGACAAAGTCAAGGGGTCTGAATGCTTTCCGAATGCACTGTATATTAGAGTTGCCATAGCATTTTGCAGTTCTCACCCAGCAGTTTGCATTTTACTATAATACTTCCAAGCTAAAATAATTTGTTGATTGGGCCTGTAGTTGGATCAATAAACTCAGTCAATCAGTCATTGCTTATTATTAGATCCATGTCAAATTAAGTAAAACAACATTTCCATCTTCTATCACGCTCCAATTGGCATCTGTTGGCGAAATACCATTCTAACTATTCTAACGGTCAGATAGTCCACTTGGAATACATGATGGTTATGTTGTGTTGACAGTTAAAGCGCTGTTAGGAGGATTTGCCATGTGGATATTTGCTCAGCATGAGCTTATCACTGTATTACCACACTATTAAATGACCGTCATTTCCAGACAAAGCATGTCTGCTTTGCCCTGGGCACTGTTAGCCCCTGTTTAGCCTACAGGTTTACTTTGAAATGGTCCCCCCATTATGGCTCCTCAAAGAAATGTCCTACAGTTGAAAAGGACATTGCTTGAATGGACTCTTTAAGAGGAGGCTGTACTTGGCCATCAAGTATACATTCCTCCAGCTCAGTGCTTCCTCTGTGGTCCCACTCCCCCCCTCCCAGCCCGTCCCCTCCCTCGCACTCACCACTCCGTTCCCACAGGGGCCCTGGCCAAAGCAAACTCCTGCGAGGAAGTCTCCCCCTCCCTTTTCTCTCCCTCCTTATTTCTCTCCTTCTCTCTCTCCCTTCACTCACTCCATCCTAAGAGGGGCCATGTTGGGTAGTTTAGGCCAGGATTGCATTGAGGAGTCCGGTGAGGGTAATGTAGTCATGGCATGTGGTGTGCAGCCAGGCCAGGAGGATGTATGAGGAGAGTGTTATGTCTCTGACGCTGTGTCTGTGTGGCCTTGTTATGGCTGTGATGTGGTGCTGAGTAAAGCCTGTGTGGCTCCTCTCATGTGAGATCAATGTCAGATTTAGCCAGCAGGTCCCTTGTGGTGTCTGGGAGGGTCTGTTTTCTAACTCTGTTATGTCTAGGGCTCAACGTTTTCCTGGAGCTGCAAACCTCAGGGTAGGAATAGTACCAGACAGACAGACTTTGTTGGGAAAACAACAGCAATGGCAGTAATTACAGACTCCGGTTTTGACCACTCTCCGCTTTTTAGAAAAACACTGGCCTTGAGTGAGGCAGGTGAGGGGTCGAGTCATCGTGGTCAGCTGGAGGTCTGGGTAAATGTCCCTGAGCACTAACCTCAGTGTCTGCTGCCTCAGTGTGTGTGTGGTTAGACACTTAGAGAGGAGACTGATGTGTGAGTCAGGGAGGGAGACATGAGATGAGTGTCCAGACAACCACAGTCATGCCCTATGCCTTGTGATAACACAACTGCTGTATGATTATAGCTTTATGGGCCAGAGGCACAGCAGAAATGACAGGGTTGTGTTGCATGTTTTAGTCTGAGCGCCATCGTACAGTAGACTGAGGCAGGCAGTGCAGTGTGAGACCTGCCTGACTGACACCCTCCCCTTGGGTTACATTGCCAGAACCACACACTGCTTCTAAGCTCATCAGAACTGTGGGACAGGATTCATTTACACCAAAGCTGTCAGTCAGTACCAAAGGTCATTTATCTTTCTCCCCTAAACATTATTACAATGTCAAGTGATACACCTTTCAATATTATAAAGTGGAGTATATTTTCCATTCACGCCTTTGTAGTATATACTTTTGTGTTATTTTTATGGGGTGGCAGGTAGCCTAGTGTTTAAGAGTGTTGGGCCAGTAACCGAAAGGTCACTGGTTCGAATGCCCGAGCTGAATAAGTGAGAAATCTGTCGACGTGCCCTTGAGCAAGGCACTTCATCCTAATTGCTCCTCTAAGTCGCTCTGAATAAGAGTGTCTGCGAAATGACAAAAATGTAAATGATACATCCACAGTATATTCAGTAATGATTTCAGTTGAATCATCCATTGAAAAGAGGATTCATTGTGGATTCTTTGAGGGAGAATGTCATAGCGGTATGATAACTCACAGGTCCGGGCAGGCCTCTCTCACTGCCTAGGTAAACATATCCTCATCCTGACAAGTGCAGACCTGAGGGCAGGGGCTAGATTACTCCGTCTCACTACCGAAGCCTGGAGAGCTGCACACACACATAACACCGCCACTTCCTGGACCACTGTTACATGGCCAAACCTTCCACTATGTGTGAGTCTCAATTGCTCAGTGAGAGACAGAGAGAGAAAATGAGATGTTAGGTTAGCTAGTCATGTCTTAATCTGAAAATGTATGCACTCGCTCTGGATAAGAATCTGCTAAATGACTCAAATGCATAAAGATGTTAATGTAATCTTGCTCAACAGAGCGAATCGGGAAACATTGCGTGAGTCCACGATCCGTGCTGAGGCGCAGCAGCACCGGCAGAACGTTTCACTCCAGTTGTCCATCAGATTCCAGAACCACTACTCTCTGCTCTCTCAGCCCTCTCTCCCACACAGAACAGAGAGTAGCTCCACTGCACCTGATGGCGCCTCCCGTCCCCAGCCCCAGAGCCTGGACGCACACAAACAGAGCCCCCAGCTCACAGCCAGACCTCACTCTCATAGAAACGTCTACTGTCCCCCACACTATACTGCCCTCACACACTGGATTAGGGCCACTAGCTGATTTTGGATGGATGACAGTATTTGGACACATGGTTGTTTCTCTGACATTCACCTCTAGTTGGATGATTCCAATTACGGTATCAAACACCTCTGAAGGGGATGTTGTGTAAAGATATTTAAATGATCTATGGAATATAAGTGTGTTACAGACTACTCCAGTAGATTCAGATGTTGATCATTAATAGTCTCTTTTGTATATATCTTTCTCTTCTACCTATAGTCTAACAGCCCAGTTCCAGCCAAGAAGTTCAAACTGGAGAAAGTACACTCTCCATCAGCTGACAAAGAGAAGCAACCCGATTGGCTACAATCTCGATCAAAGTCAGGGAACAAGGTTTGTAGCTCATGTTCTCTATTGATTGTGATAAATGTGATTTGCTGTAAGGTTAAGGATCAGGGCAATCCTATACATAGAGTCATTGTCTAATTGACTGTGTTACCTTACCTTATACATATGAGCCCTGTAATTCAGTCAGTTAATTACGTTGACAATAGTCTCTTTACAAACCAGTCTACCTTATGCAATATGATTACACTGTACCTTTCCAGGGATGTTTTTCGAATTCCCTGTTTCATAACTGTATTATAATGTATGAATTCTATTTCTTTCCAGGATCTGAAACCGGTCCAGCTGAAACAGAGGCCATCAGCCTTCCGCCCCTGGTCCCCCAGAAGTCCATCTGCTGAGAAGCAGAAGTTTACCAGTCACAATGAGATGTGAGTCAGAGACTGTCATGCTGTCATAGTTTCACTCATCAATTTCACCACACCACAGTAAAGGATTGTCAGTCTTTAACCCATTGAGGTAACATTCCTAAGGAATTATAATATAACAATGACCAATAACCACATTTTCATCCGTTGCTATGATGTCTTACTATATATTGTTGAACTAAATGATGTAACTTGTATTTTCTTGTCATAACAGATCAAACCACAAAAACGTGGACACGTCTGCCCCAGCTCCGTTGACCTACCAGAGAGAGGAGCAGGCCACAGTGGGCCACAGCCAGGCTCCAGGCAGGGGAGACCAGCACATCAGCTCCAGACCAGCCCCACAGTGTGGAGACTCACAGCCTGGGCCCAGACCTGTCCATATCAACAGCAACACAGCCAACGGTGTGGAGGACATGGAGACTGACGGGGAGATTGAGGTGGATGACTGTGATGACTGTGAGTATGACACACTGTTGTTCAGACATTCTGTAAGAGAAATAGGACACTAGGACAAAGATTACTCCAACACTCAAGGACAGCCAACCTAACCCGAGCTAATATGGCAGCAAGAAGTAGGCTATGGTTAGTTTGCCTGATCCCTGTGAGGGGGTGCCATCTAGTGGCTGGTCTGTGCAGCACAGAGCACACAGAGCTGTCTCAATTCACAGGATTTTACTCAGCAGCAGATGTCACTGCTGTTCCAATACTTTTTTAGGCTTCACCCTATGAACATACTGTTTTATTTTTCTGTCTTTCAGACCCACCATCGGTCCCCTCCTTGGCATCCCCTCCCTCTGCCTGCTCCAGTGTGTCCTGGACCCTGACCCCCCAGACCACCATGAGGCCCCTGGAGGGCCCAGTCCGGCTGGTATTACCAGGGGCACCTCAATGCCCAGAGCTGGACACACTGAGACAGACCCTGTATGGCGGTTTGGACTCCAAGGAGGCCAGGGAGAAGTTCCTGCAGGAGATTGTTAAGATGAGAGTGAAGCAGGAGGAGAAACTGGGGGCAGCGCTGCAGGCCAAACGCGGTCTTCAGCAGGTAAACCTCCCACTCAAGATCCAAAATGGCCACCTTTTGGCACAAAAATGTAATCTGTTTCTTTATGTGTACAATGTGTTTTTTATGACACAATCTTTAGGACACAACAGATTATTAACAATTTTTTTTCACCCACAGGAGCTGGATTTTGTGAGGGTGTCCAAGAAGGGGCGTCTTCGAGAGGCCATCGAGGCCAAGCGCAACCTGAGGAAAGAGATAGAACGCCTGCGCATGGAGTGGGACAGGAAGATGAGGGAGGCGGACGAGTCCCGTGGCCATCTGAAAAGAGAGCTGGAGAGAGAGAGACAGATACGAGTCTGCGACAAAGGCTGTGAGGCTGAACGCCTGCGAGCCAAGTACTCCACACAAGTAAGACCAAGATCCTTATAATATAGCCTGCATACATAGGTTATCACACAGAAAGAATCACACACACACATACAAAATGAAGAACAGTTGAGTCACTGTATGTGCTTCCTGACTGATGTGTATGCTCCTTTTCAGATTGAGGAGCTGCAGGTTCAGCTGCAGCAGGCGGATGCGGACCGAGAGCAGCTGAGAGAGGAGCTACAGCAGGAGAGGGAGGCGCGGCAGAGCCTGGAGAGGGTGGTCAAGGACCTGCAGGCTCAGCTGGGAGGCCCACAGGACACCCCCATGACACCCCAACACACTAACCCAGAGACACACAGACAGACACAACTTCCAAATGGATCCTAAAGATGCATGCAGTAGACAGTGTGTAGTTGGAGACGTAATGCAAGAGGGTGGATACAGACTGCACTGCGCCTCTTGTTAAGGAAACGAAATTCACCAAATGAAAGATGTTTGTAGGAGCGAAGGCAAGAGGTTTTCATAGAATGAAAAATAAATATTCTGGTTACTGATATGATAGAAATATACATTATTATAATAATATATGAACTTCATAAGATGAACTGGATAGACGCATGAATACGCATGTTGTACAGCCTACAGAAGAGAAAAACTCAATTGAAGACACCTCACAAGTGACTTTAGAGCCCTCAGTCAGATCCCTGAAGCTGTTCAAGGATTTTATTTTGGTATAAGCTATTTAAAATGTACAAATATAGCTACATAGTGTTACTTGAATATATAGGGAAAAGAGAAGTGATTGTTTTCATGAAATGACAGTAGCAGATGTAACTCTTGCTAGTGCCACAGAATCTCGGTACACTTTAAGGTATTACAAAGCCACTGGAAACAATGGACACCAGTATACCACTATTTACTTTTTTCAATCAATCAGTTTGCTTAAATCAAATGTTTTCTTTTCTTTTTTTTGAGGATGTACAGGAAATGTTGCATCATCAATACTGCTATCCTACAGGCAACGCTCACATACATACATATTTACACATTCACATTCGAACATATACATGTATGTGCCAGCTTCTCTACCGTGTGTATTTGTGTTCTTGTATTTAAAGCCTGAAGTATTGGGGATTATGTGGCCTGGAATCAGTTCCACCCACCTTTTGTTCTCATCTTAAATATTTTATGAAAGTGCTACTTTTTACCATTCTTATTCCTTACACAACTTAATTAGTCTTTTTGAAAATTGTTTTTTGAGATACAGTATATTGTGTATGAAACCAAACCATGTGACAAATGTTTAAATGTGCTTGCCCATGCTAGAATGGAGTTCTGCCCCGTAAATCTAATGTTACCCACATTAAACACCTTTGATATAGCTTTCTCTTTGGTGAATTGAGGTATTTCCGATTTTGTATCGAGTACTGTAAAATAATTTATATTCCGAAATAATTTGCTGCTTGTCAACTATAAACATTAATTTCTTGTTACTGGTTTTAGGGCTCTTTGAAAAAGCAACATGTGCAGTTTCAATGAACAACAGTTCTACATATATATACAAAATATGGATATATATTTTTGTACTTTACGAAAGGAATTGCACTTTTTAAAAAGAAAATTGCGTTGTGCATTTAACTCCCTCATGTTTTTCAACTCACAAATGAACATGAACATAGAATTGAACAACACTTTCATTCAATGACCTCTTATGTAAATACAATGTTTAAGGATGATATTGTAAATAAGATATTTGTCAATACGTTTGCTTGCTTCACACTTAAATTGCATATGAATATTATTTTGGCTCTTACTTGAAACCAATAGAAACTCTATATTTGAAATGTTGATATTATAGTTTCATTATTGTTTCCTTCGATATCATCTGAAATCAATGGGCATTTAATAGAATGGATTATGGTTATCTTATTTGATGTATTGTAAGGTGTCTACCAAAACCCAGACCAATAATTTTACCTGAAGACGATATCTCACCATCAACTGCTTTATCCAACTTATCAGACAATGCTAAAGCTCCTATTAGAATATTATTTCCTAGGTGCCATCTTATGTATTGTAGAATAAAATACTTTTATGTTTTATGTATCAGTTACTTGTATTATCTCCCACTGAATACCTGTTGGGTACAATGTACTAGCAATATACATTGTGTTTATGCTCTTTAATGTAGTTTTGGTTTGGAAGTGAGGTTTGTTTTTGCCGCTTGTTTCAATGTTTATTTTTTCTTTGGAAAAACTGTGTTACCCATTAAAATCAAATCAACCATATTCATGAGGGTGTTTTATGTTTTATTACAGTCAATGAGTTACACAAAGTGTAACACCATTATCAAGTTTCAAGTTGTATTAGTTGTATTAGTGCCTTCAGAAAGTATTAATATCCCTTGACTTATTCCACATTGTTGTTTTACAGCCTGAATTCACAGGGATATATTCTCAACCATCTACACACAATACTCCATAATAACAAAGTGAAAACATGTTTTTTGAAAACGAAATAGAGAAATATCTCATTGACATAAGTATTCACACCCCTGAATCAATACATGTTAGAATCACCTTTGGCAGCGATTACAGCTGTGAGTCTTTCTGGGTAAGTCTCTAAGAGCTTTGCACACATGGATTGCACAAAACTTGCCCATGATTCATTTCAAAATTCTTCAAGCTCTGTCAAATTGGTTGTTGATCATTGCTAGACAACCATTTCTTGCCATAGATTTTCAAGCAGATTTAAGTCAAAACTGTAACTTGGCCGCTCAGGAACATTCACTGTCTTCTTGGTAAGCAACTCCAGTGTAGATTTGGCCTTGTGTTTAAGGTTATTGTCCTCCTGCTGAAAGGGGAATTCATCTCCCAGTGTTTGGTGGAAAACAGACTGAACTAGGTTTTCCTCTAGGATATTGCCAGTGCTTAGCTCCATTCCGTTTATTTTGTATCCTGAAAAACTCCCCAGTCCTTAACAATTACAAGCATACCCATAACATGATGCAGCCACCACTATGCTTGAAAATATGGAGAGTGGTACTCAATAATGTGCTGTATTGGATTTGCCCCAAACATAACACTTTGTATTCAGGACAAAAAGTTAATTGCTTTGGCCACATATTTTATTACTTTAGTGGCTTGTTGCAAACAGGATGCATGTTTTGGAATATGTTTATTCTGTACAGACTTCCTTCTTTTCCCTCTGTCAATTAGGTTAGTATTGTGTAGTAACTACAATGTTGATCCATCCACAGTTTTCTCCTATCACAGCCATTAAACTCTGTAACTGTTGTAAAGTCACCATTGGCCTCATGGTGAAATCTCTGAACAGTTTTACTTCCTCTCTGGCAACTGAGTTAGGAAGGACGCCTGTATCTTTGTAGTGACTGGGTGTATTGATACACCATCCAAAATGTACTTGATAACTTCACCATGCTCAAAGGGATATTCAATGTCTGCCTTTTTAATTTTTGCCCATCTACCAGTAGGTGCCCTTCTTTGCAAAGCATTGGAAAACCTCCCTGGTCTTTTGTGGTTGAATCTGTGTTTCAAATTCACTGCTAGACTGAGGGACCTTAAAGATAATTGTATGTGTGGGGTACAGAAATGAGGTAGTCATTCAAAAGTCATGTTAAACACTATTATTGCACACGGAGTGAGTCCATGCAACTTATTATGTGACTTGTTAAGCACATTTTTACTACTGAACTTATTTAGGCTTGCCATAACAAACGGGTTGAATACTTATTGACTCAAGACATTTTTTCTTAATTTGTAAACATTTCTAAAAACATAATTCCACTTTGACATTATGGGGTATTGTGTGTAGGTCAGTGAAAAAAAATCTAAATTTAATCCATTTTAAATTCAGGCTGTAACACAACAAAATGTGGAAAAAGTTAAGGGGTATGAATACTTTCTGAATGCATTGTACGCATGGTATACATCTTCCAGCTAAATGCTTACTTGCAGGTTCCTTCTCGACAAAGCAACAACAATAATAAATACGAAAAGATAAGAATACAATCATAAAGTAAATGGCATAAACATTTTAGCAGTAGAAGTATAAGTGAAATACAGGATGGCACAATTTATAGTCCAACATTATGTATTCATATCTAAGAAACAGAGATAATTCAAAGGCACAATTTGTAACTTCTTTGATGCTCAGACAAAAACACACATAGAAAAACAAACATAAGCCAATCAGTGTGCAGAACATAATACCCTCCTCCTTAGTTCTGTCGAGTCAATACTTTTTACCATTATACTGACGATTGCACCTGTTAATTATATAAAATACTTCGTTATCTCTGATAGGCAAGTGTGTTTTTCATAATACAGACACCAAAAATACACAGCAGAGCTAACTCACAAAAGTGTGCAGATCACTTTTCATGTTAGTGTTATTACATGCTGATTGCAAAGAGGGTAATTGTCTAATGAAGGAAGTGCCCACAGTCTGCTGAGAAGGGGAGAGCTAATCTAATTTGTTTGACTGCAGCCTACACTCAGAGTCACGCAACAAATACTAACATCCCATTCCTATCTGGGAGTGTCTTGGATACTCTGCATTCATCTACTTGATGGGACTTCCCTTTTGTGCTACTGAGCGAACATCCCTTTCCCATCCCACCTCTTTCCCTTTCTTTAAGAGCTTACATTTTGCGTGAAAATCCCTCTGCGAAGGCTGTCCTCCCTTAACCCAGGATTACAGCTTGAGGAAGATTTAGTGGTTGACACGTGTTGCACACTTCTCCTCCTGCTGCCACAGTGCAAAACACACTTGTGTGTACAGTGTCTGCCTCACTGAGACCTCTGCTTTGGAATGTTTGGTGAAGAATGGAAATGAATGGGAGTAATCAGGGGCTTTCACTCCCTGTCCTATGGCTAGTTCTTCTGGAGACACATACAAACTGAGGTGGTGGAACATGACAAGGTTTTTAACTCTGCGTGATAAAATAAAAATCTGAAAATGGATATACTTCCTGGATTATGGTAGGGAGTTTGATTTGTCTTCAGGATATTAGTTTTGGTTTGAACCACAGTCCAACTGGAGAGAGGAAGGCTGTGTGAGGGTGACAGACACTGGGTAGAGGACATGAGCGGGAGGCAGGTGTGTAGCTAAATGAGCGGTGCAGGAATGAACGTCAACTCAGTCATGGCACCGCTATCTCCAGGACTAAATGTCAATTTATCTCCAGGACTAAACCCCATCGACACCCCACCAATGGCAGCTCCATCTCCAAGACTGAGTCTCACCACCACCCCACCGATGGCAGCGATATCTCCAAGACTGAGCCTCACCTCTACCCCAGTGATGGCTACCTCGTCTCTAGTAAAGAGTGCCTCTCCATCCATTGCTTCCTTGTCTCCTGGACTGTTCTCACCCTCTCTGTCCTCTCTGAGCCCAGAGAGAAGGGCCTCCTCCCCCTTCGGCAGGTCCTCCAGCAGGTCCCCCACCCCATCCATCATGACATCCCCAAAGCTGTGGCAGAAAACCTCCATCTCCAGACTGGCAGAGGAGTTCTTCTGGATTGGTGGAAGCATTGTAGCACAACCCAAATGGAGACTGGGTCAATATGGTAAGCGACTGATGGAGATATGATATTTGACATATATTTTGTCTTCCCTCAAATTATTTAATTACTTATTATTTGGGGAGGATACACAGCTGTAAATCATTAGCCACTAAATTTGAACAAAATGTACGAAATAAGGTAGCATATTTTATAACACCTGCAATTGCCTCCTAAACCTTTCCCACCATAAGAGAGTGAAAATTCCGGTAACATGTACGCAGGTAACATGAGTAGATGATGGGTATATGGACTCCACACAATCCCTAGAGATTAGACTGAGTGATGCAGACTAGTGGGCATCACGTGTCCCTCTCTCTACTCCAGATTACCGAAGAAGGTTACCTGCTCTTACTGTCATGCTCAAAAATACCATACAAACATACATGCCATTCAAACATGTCATGGGACAGGGGGTCCTAAGAGAATGGGAGCCAGCTCAATTAGAAAGACAGAGTCAACTGTAGATAGGCCTACAGTATGCACTATCAATTAGTCAGTATAAGAGCGTAATATTCTACACTACAGATATTGCAAGGATTAAGTATTTATCTATGTTGTCAGCTAATCTAATAATCAACTGCTAGTTGGTAAATCTCTGCTTGAACCATGCTATTCTCCTCAATTAATCTGAAAGGGATTATATGGGGGGCTTCCCCAGTGTTGTGAAATAACATTTGTAATGTCACCTGTTGATTGAAAGATAATTCAGTACTGTAGGACATATGAGGCAACACATGCTCATGACAAGTCTTGCAATGCACTAGGACAGGGTTCTTCAATTCCGGTCCTGGAGGGCCGAAACACCTCTGTTTTTCATCCTCTCCTTCTAATCAGGGGCTAATTCAGACCTGGGACACCAGGTGAGTGCAATTAACTACCAGGTAGAAATAAAAAACAGAAGTGTTTCAGCCCTCCAGGAGCGGAATTGAAGAACCCTGCACTAGGATCTGTCTTTGTTGTCCCAGTAAACAATTAATAAATGGGCCCAAATGGACTAGCGTTCTATACAGGGGGTGTACTTGTACATCAAGCTGCCTCACGCTACAGAAACAGGATATAATCTCCGACTCCTATGAGCCATTCCGGCTCGCACAAGCCAAGGCTCGTGCAAGGCTACTTACTTACTCTATATGGGCCCAAATGCTACAGTTTTAGGGCACACAAGAACAGTACATGGTCAGGATGCCCTGTACCGTATGAGTACAGAGGCCATCTGATGACCCCGTGTGTGTGTGCCTTCCTCCCTCCCTGTGGCCTGTCTGCAGTGGAGAGGTGTATGTGCACCATGCAGACTGGCACCCAGATGACCAAACTGAAAGGGAAGAAGAAGGGGCTGGTCAGGTTCTTCTACCTGGATGAACACAAGTCCTGCATCCGCTGGAGGCCCTCCAGGAAGCACGATAAGGCTAAAAGTGAGTCAGACAAGGAATGTTTCAGATAGGGTTTTATACTGGTACCATGAGGAATACTCTTACATTTTTACTTGGTCTACATTCAACAGTTTACCAGCCCTATTCCATTAGATATTTGAACATAATGTACAAATGTGCACACTGCATGTGTGTATTACCACCTTATAACTCATGTGAAATAGCTATGAGATTTCTGAAAAATTAACAGGTTATTACAGCTGATTGACTGCTAGAATACATTCTTATTCATTTTCATGTTGATTCTCTCCAGTAACCATTGACTCCATCCACGAGGTGTGTGAGGGCAAGAAGTCTGAGATCTTCCAGCGCTATGCAGACAGTTGCTTCGACCCCAACTGCTGCTTCAGTATTTACCATGGTGACCACGTGGAGTCTCTTGACCTGGTCTCCACTAACGGAGATGAGGCCCGGACCTGGATTACTGGCCTGAAATACCTCATGGCTGGCATCAGTGACGAGGACAGTCTGGCAAAGAGACAACGCAAAAGGGACCAATATCCTTTACTCTGTCGCTATGGAGCATATCACTCATAGGGTCCTTTTAACCGATTTATGAAGATAGAACATAGACTATCCTATAAGAGCATAGAATACATCCATTTGACTGATAGAATAGGACCTGAATATCATCAGCCTGTGGGCATTTGATTCAATTAGGATATGATACTTTCCAACGTTTGTGTAAAATTATGTGTAGCAATACACGCAATTCCAGTGATGTCTTGTCACATAGGATGTATTTTGATACACACTAAAAGAAATGTCATTGGTCACTGGTCTCCGTGTCTCATCCTTAACTCTTATTCCACATGGTTACAGCAGACCTTCTCAGAGGCAGACAAAAATGGGGATGGTAATTTGAGCCTGGGAGAGGTTCTTCAGTTACTCCACAAACTCAACGTGAACCTGCCCAGGCAGAAAGTCAGAGAGATGTTTAAGGTAAGATCATATTCAGACGTTCCTAGATCTGGAGTGCAGGTTGATGTTCTTGTATCTCAATGTTTCTCATTACATCCTAGAATACAATAACAAGAAATGGTCATCTTTTAAAAGTAGTTTTACAGAAGGTCATTATATGTATCATGTGGGTAAACATATATAAAACAAAACCCAGCATCAATTATGAACTAGTTCGCAAGAGCTTGCATTTCAGGTGTCCTTACATGGTTTGGCACACAATGTATAGTGTTGTATATACATTTACATTTACGTCATTTAGCAGACACTCTTATCCAGAGTGACTCACAAATTGGTGCATTCACCTTATAGCCAGTGGGATAACCACTTTACAATGTTTTTTTTTGTTTTTTGTTTTTGTTTTTTTGGGGGGGTGGGGTGGGGTAAGGGGGGGGGTAGAAGGATTACTTTATCCTATCCCAGGTATTCCTTAAAGAGGTGGGGTTTCAAATGTCTCCGGAAGGTGGTGAGTGACTCCGCTGTCCTGGCGTCGTGAGGGAGCTTGTTCCACCATTGGGGTGCCAGAGCAGCGAACAGTTTTGACTGGGCTGAGCGGGAACTGTGCTTCCGCAGAGGTAGGGGAGCCAGCAGGCCAGAGGTGGATGAACGCAATGCCCTCGTTTGGGTGTAGGGACTGATCAGAGCCTGAAGATATACTGTAGCTATCCCATAGTTCTGTCTGAAAGGTGAGAGGACTTAACCCTAGGCTGCTTTAGAAGCCAGCAACAGGGTTTCACTGTGACAAGACTCTTCCAGAGGGGTTTTAGGGGTCAAAGATCATGGCCTAACAACTTGATCTCCAATCCTAGCTTAGGATGTGTTGTCTTGTCTCAGGATTTCCTAGCCGTACCTTGAGAGAGTGCAGGTTGGTCGCTGTACGTGAGAAGCACGCTACAGGAAGACCAGGCCATATGGTCACCGTTGAACAGAACAGATGGCTATGGTTGTATTAGCCTGCTGTATGTGTTCACACTATGCTCCAGTAATTCACATTGCATTACCTGTCTTCTATCTTTCTTAACCCCTCATGTCAAACACAGTTTTGTTTTGTGGCTGTGCAAGAAGGATTTGTTCTGTGTATTTATCTCAATCTATCAGTGGCTTGGAAATACAATGACATTCCTAAAGGGCCAAGTAATTATACAGAACAAAAATATAAACGCAACATGTAAAGTGTTGGTCCCATGTTTCCTGAGCTGAAAAATAAAATCCTGCTATTTTCCATACGCACAAAATGCTTATTTCGCTCAAATTTGTGCACAAAGGTGATTACACCCTGTTAGTGAGCATTTCTCCTTTCCCAAGATTATCCATCCACCTGACAGGTGTGACATATCAAGAAGCTGATTAAACGGCATGATCATTACACAGGTGCTCTTTGTGCTGGGGACAAAAAAAGGCCACTCTAAAATGTACAGTTTTGTCACAAAACACAATGCCACAGATGTCTCAAGTTTTGAGGGAGTGTGCAATTGGCATGCTGACTGCAGGAATGTCTACAAGAGCTATTGCCAGATAATTGAATGTTCATTCCTCTACCATAAGCAGCCTCGAATGTTGTTTTAGAGAAATTGGCAGTACGTCCAACCAGCCTCACAACCACAGACCATGTGTGACCATGGCAGCCCAGGACCTCAACATCCGGCTTCTTCACCTGAAAGATCGTCTGAGACCGGCCACCCGGACAGCTGATGAAACTGTGGGTTTGCACAACTCAAGAATTTCTGCACTAACTGTCAGAAACCGTCTCAGGCACGCTGTGCTCTTTGCGGATGGATCCCGGTTTCAACTGTACTGGGAAGATGTCAGACAGCGTGTATGGTGTCGTGTGGGCGAGCGGTTTGCTGATGTCAACGTTGAAACAGAGGGCCCCTTGTTGCCGGTGTGGTAATGGTATGGGCAGGCATAAGCTACGGACAACAAACACAATTGCATTTTATGAATGGCAATTTGAATGCACAGAGATACTGTGACGAGATCCTGACGCCCATTGTCGTGCCATTCATCTGCTGCCATCACCTCATATTTCAGAATGATAATGCATGGCCCCGTGTCGCAAGGATCTGTACACAATTCCTGGAAGCTGAAAATGTCCCAGTTCTTCCATGGCCTGCATACTCACCAGACATGTTTGGGGTGCTCTGAATCGGCGCACAGCAACTTCGCAGTGCTATTGAAGAGGAGCGGGACAACATTCCACAAGCCACAATCAACAGCCTGATCAACTCTATGTGAAGGAGATGTGTCGCGCTGCATGAGGCAAATGGTGGTCACACCAGATACTGACTGGTTTTCTGATCCACGGCCCTACCTTTTTTGGGGGGGGGGTATCTGTGACCAACAGATGCATATCTGTATTCCCAGTCATGTGAAATCCATAGAATAGGGCCTAATGAATTTATTTCAGTTGACTGATTTCCTTACATGAACTGTAACTCAGTAACATCTTTGAAATTGTTGCATGTTGCGTTTATATTTTTTGTTTAATGTAGTTGGAAATCCTTTTGTCATTATTGTGATGTCACCAGATTGACTTTAGATGCAGTATAATTTTAGCAAGCTAACTTTAGCATTGCTAGCTATTTTTGACAAACTTTGCTAGCTAATAACAACTTTGCCTTCTGTCTAAAGTAAATTTGACAACATGATAATCATGAAAGTTGATTCCTACTATATATTTGCCTACTTTAGTAATGTCATCGTATTTCCAGGCCACTATAGTGTAATTTAGACTAAACAGTCATTAGGCCCAGTTCAGAATGAGTGGGCATCACTGGACTTTTGGGCACCAATATGGCTGCGGCATCTTTAGAACGTTCCTAACAATGGCAACGATGCGACAGAGTGACTGAGGTGTAACCCATGTCAATGACAGAGTGACTGAGGTGTAACCCATGTCAATGACAGAGTGACTGAGGTGTAACCCATGTCAATGACAGAGTGACTGAGGTGTAACCCATGGATATTGCACCAAAAAGGGTTCTGCTATCGTTGCAACCCTTTTTGGTGCTGTATAGAACCCTTTTGAATGGTTCTTTATAGATCCTTTGTGGAGAATGATTCTATAAAAACCCTTTCTTAATCTCAAAGGTTCTACAAATAACCTTTTGAAGAACCATACAGGCAGAGACGGGCAGTATTTATGTTGTATTTGAAATACGTATTGAATTACTTTTGAATTACTTTTCAGTATTTTGTAATTTTTGTTACACTGGCCTGAACTACAATCCAATGTATTTTGTAACAAGATACTTTCGAGAGCTGTAATTTGTATTTTAAAAATACAAAATACTTTTCTATAAAAATTAATTTTTAGCAGTATACATCACAGTCAAAAGTTTTTTTATTCCCGTTACCGAGAATGTTGTTGTAGTTAAGGCGTCTACTTGCAAATGTATTTTGTATTTTCAAAATACAAAATACCTAAAATACCTGTATTTTATCAATCTAGATCTTGTATTTTGTATTTTATTTTTTGGTCGGTCGGGTATTTTGTATTTGTAACAAGATCATTTTAGATGAATCTTTTCCCCATCTAAGCATACAGGATTATTTTGTCTGGTTAGCCATATTATATATTTTTTAAACTCCTTAGGTGTTATTATTGTGTTAATTAACAAGTTGAATCAGGTGTGCTACCTCTGGAACAGCTGCGGGTCCCTGAGGAGAGAATTAAGAAACCCTTGATTTAGACAACAGTTCTCAAATGATGCAAGGCCATATGTGAGTCTTTCACAAGACACCGTCACTGGCCATAGTCATATTTAACATGTAATCGCATAACACAACAGATTAGATACACTGTAATGACACTCTCACTCATTGCTGCACAAAAAGAGCTGCGAGCAAACCACGCCACAAAATGTTTGAATGAGCTGCCGCCCCTACATTTTAATTATCACTAAAAGAGGAAAGAACCATTTTCTGAACTGCAAAGAACCATTGAAGGGTTCGAAGGGTTCTTTGAGTCATTATGGTTTCAAATAGAACCATCACCCTTCCCAAAGAACCCTTGAGGAACCCTCTTTTCTAAGTGGTTAACACTCACCCTAACCTTAACCCTAACCCTAAATATTTTTTTTCCATCCTCAGAAAGCAGACACAGATGACAACCAGGGTTCGTTAGCTTTTGAAGAATTCTGTACCTTCTATAAGATGATGTCTACACGCAGAGGCCTCTATCTCATCATGCTCTCCTACAGTAATAACAAAGAGTTCATGGACCTAAATGACCTGGTCCATTTCATGGAAAATGAACAGAAGGTAAAACTGAATTAAAAGCAGAATGTAACGGTATTTTTAAAATTATTTAATCATTATTGCTCATTTTTCATCACAATGTTTCTGTTTGGTAGATGGCGGGTGTAACCAGAGAATATTGTCTGGAGATAGTCAGCCAGTTTGAGCCATGTTCTCAAAACTTACAGAATATGGTTCTGGGCATCGATGGTAAGGATTTTACATTAAAGTAGTTTTCATGACACAAGCGCGTGTCATTTAAGAATCACAGCCCACAGAAATAGCCAAAGACACATGAACAGACATGGTGTATCTCCAAGTACAGTAACAGTATGTAAATTACAGAAAAGTCACATATCCCATTTCTTCCCTCAGGTTTCACCAATTACATGCGAAGTCCTGCAGGAGACATCTTTAACCCAGACCACCATCATGTGCACCAGGACATGACCCAGCCCCTGTGTAACTACTTCATAGCCTCGTCCCACAACACCTACCTGACAGGGGACCAGCTTCTGTCTGAGTCCAGGGTAGACATGTATGCCTATGTGCTCCAGGCTGGCTGTCGCTGTGTGGAAGGTAAGCTTAGACACTATAATGACCCTTCAACTGCCTCCCTACCCAAAACATTGCAATGCTGTACTCCTACTTGCTGTACTCAATGCTGTACTCAAACTGTAACCAGTGCCTGCAACCTGGTTCAGGTTATCAGTCAACCTACCAGGGTAGTTACAAACAGTACAGGAATTAAATCATCAACATGTATTGATCATATCTTTACTAATGCTGCAGAGATTTGTTTGAAAACAGTATCCAAATCCATTGGATATAGTAGCCATATCTAGGAAAATCAAAGTTCCAAAGGCTGGGCCTAATATTGTGTATAAGAGGTCATACAATATGTTTTGTAGTGATTCCTATGTTGTTGATGTAAAGAATATATGTTGGTACGTGGTGTGTAATGAGGAGCAAACAGACACTGCACTTGACACAATTATGAAATTGCTTATTTCAGTTACTAATAATAAGCATTCCCCCATTAAGAAAAAGACTGTAAAAACTGTTACATAATTGTATGGTTGAGAGGGATGGCAAATAAGTCTGGCTGCACAACCGATTGGCAAACATATTGCAAATTGAGAAATCATGTGACTAAATTGAATAAAAAGAAGAAGAAAGTACACTATGAAACAAAGATAAGTGACATAAAGAATGATAGTAAAAAGCTTTGGAGCACCTTAAATTACATTTTGGGAAAAAAGGCAAACTCAGCTCCATCATTCATTGAATCAGATGGCTCATTCATCACAAAACCAACTGATATTGCCAACTACTTTAATGATTTTTTCATTGGCAAGATTAGCAATCTTAGGCATGACATGCCAGCAACAATTGTGACACTACACATCCAAGTATGTCTGACCAAATTATGAAAGACAAACGTTGTAATTTTGAATTCCGTAAAGTGAGTGTGGAAGAGGTGATAAAAGTATTGTTGTCTATCAACAATGACCTGCCACTGGGGTCTGACAACTTGGATGGAATATTACTGAGGATAATAGTGGACGATATTGGCACTCCTATTTGCCATATTTTCAATTTAAGCCTACTAGAATGTGTGTGCCCCCAGGCTTGGAGGGAAGCAAATGTAATTCCGCTACCTAAGAATAGCAAAGCCCCCTTTACTGGCTCAAATAGCCGACCAATTAGCCTGTTACCAACCCTTAGTAAACTATTGGAAAAAATGGTGTTTGACCAGATACAATGCTATTTTACAGTAAAGAAATTGACAACAAACTTTCAGCATGCTTATAGAGAAGGACATTCAACAAGCACATCACTTACACAAATGACTGATGATTGGCTGAGAGAAATTGATGATAAAAAGATTGTGGGGGCTGTTTTGTTAGACTTCAGTGTGGCTTTTGACATTATCGATCATAGTCTGCTGCTGGAAAAACGTATGTGTTATGGCTTTACTCCACCTGCTAAATTGTGGATACAGAGTCACCTGTCTAACAGAACACAGAGGGTGTTCTTTAATGGAAACCTCTCCAACATAATCCAGGTAGAATCAGGAATTCCCCAGGGCAACTGTCTAGGCCCATTACTTTTTTCAATCTTTACTAATGACATGCCACTGGCTTTGAGTAAAGCCATAGTGTCTATGTATGTGGATGACTCAACACTATACATGTCAGCTACTACAACGACTGAAATGACTGCAACACTTAACAAAGAGTTGCAGTTAGTTTCAGAGTGGGTGGCAAGGAATAAGTTAGTCCTAAATATTTCTAAAACTAAAAGCATTGTATTTGGAACAAATCATTCACTAAACTCCAAACCTCAATTAAATCCTGTAATAAATAATGTGGAGATTGAGCAAGTTGAAGTGACTAAACTGCTTGGAGTAACCCTGGATTGTAAACTGTCATGGTCAAAACATATTGATACAACAGTAGCTAAGATGGGGAGAAGTCTGTCCATAATAAAGCGCTGCTATACCTTCTTAACAGCACTATCAACAAGGCAGGTCCTACAGGCTCTAGTTTTATCGCACCTGGACTACTGTTCAATCGTGTGGTCAGGTGCCACAAAGAGGGACTTAGGAAAATTGCAATTGGCTCAAAACAGGGCAGCACGGCTACTGGCCCTTGGATGTACACAGAGAGCAATCATTAATAATATGCATGTCAATCTCTCCTGGTTCAAAGTGGAGGAGAGATTGACTTCATAACTGCTTGTGCTTGTGAGAGGTGTTGACATGTTGAAAGCACCGAGCTGTCTGTTTGAACGACTGGCACACAGCTCAGACACCCATCCATACCCCACAAGACATGCCACCAGAGGTCTCTTCACAGTCCCCAAGTCCAGAACAGACTATGGGAGGTGCACAGTACTACATAGAGCCATGACTACATGGAACTCTATTCCACATCAGGTAACTGATGCAAGCAGTAGAATCAGATTTAAAAAACAGTTAAAAATACACCTTTTGGAACAGCTGGGACTGTGAAGCAACACAAACATAGGCACAGACACATGCATACACACACATGATAACATACGCTCTATACACACACGTACACATGGATTTTGTGTTGTAGATATGTGGTAGTGGTGGAGTAGGGGCCTGAGGGCACACATTTAGTGTGCTGTGAAATCTGTTATGAATGTATTGTAATGTTTTTTTTAAATGTATAACTGCCTTCATTTTGCTGGACCCCAGGAAGAGTAGCTTCTGCCTTGGCAGCAGCTAATGGGGATCCATAATAAATACAAATACAAATACTTAAGTGATAATGCCAGAGAAGCCGGTGTTTGCTGATTTGTTTAAGAGACGTCTGGATACTGTGTATCAGGATTTTGTGGCCATTTACACAGATGGTTCAAAAGATCCAAGGACAGGACGTAGTGGGTCAGCATTTGTAGTGCAGGAATGTGGGGTGGCAGTCAGGAAACGTATTACAGATCATCTGGCTGTATATACGGCGGAGCTGATGGCCATACTGTACAGTTTTTCCGCCGGAATCACTGAATCACTGGACCTTTAACTCCGGATTCATCGCTACCAGCTAGCTGCAACAAAATGGACGCTGTGGTCTGGCTAATCATCCTGAGCTAGGCCCATCTCCCGGCTATCTACCTCTCTGTCAACCGGACGGGACCACCTAGTGTTGACACGGAGCCCCGCCGATCCTACACGACTGGTCTGCCGACGAAATCGTCTGATGTGGTTACGACGTTAACCACGAAGATTCCATCTGCTAGCCCCGGCCCGCTAGCACACGCTAGCCGTGGCCTCTTACACACGCTAGCCGTGGCCTAGTGCTAGCCGCAGCCTCCGAACTATCCTATTGCTGTTCACCGGACCTTATGATACTCCTGAGTGGCGCAGTGGTCTAAGGCACTGCATCGCAGTGCTAACTGTGCCACTAGAGATCCTGGTTCGAATCCAGGCTCTGTCGCAGCCGGCCGCGACCGGGAGACTCATGGGCGGCGCACAATTGGCCCAGCGTCGTCCAGGGTAGGGGAGGGAATGGCCGGCAGGGATGTAGCTCAGTTGATAGAGCATGGCGTTTGCAACGCCAGGGTTGTGGGTTCGATTCCCACGGGGGGCCAGTGTAAAAAAAAAAGATGTATTCACTAACTGTAAGTCGCTCTGGATAAGAGCGTCTGCTAAATGACGTAAAATGTAAATAACTCAGCTATACAGCTGATGTCTGCTGGACTGTTCCTTTTTACATTACTACATCCTGTTTATGTTTAGCCTCAGCCCAAACATGGTTAACTTATTGTTGTTTCGGTTATTTCTAATTGTACTATTTCACTGTAGACCCCCCAGCTCAGCTAAACCTGCCTTCGATAGCTCCTTTGTCCCACCCCCTATACACGCGGAGACCGACTCAATTGATGCCTCCAGCGATGCTATCTCTTTCATTGTTACCCAACGCTTAGGTTTACCTCCACTTTACTCATATCCTTCCATATCCTTATCTGTACATAATGCCCTGAATCTTTTCTATAACACCCGGAAATCTGCCCCCTTTATTCTATGTACCCAACGCACTAGAAGACCAGTTCTTAAAGCCTTTAGCCGTATCCTTATTCTAGTCCTCCTCTGTTCCTCTGGTGATGTAGAGGCTAACCCAGGCCCTGCAGCCCTCAGTATCACTCCTACTCCCCAGGCGCTATCATTTGCTGACTTCTGTAATCGCAAAAGTCTTGGTTTCTTGCACATAAATATCAGAAGTCTACTTCCTAAGTTTGAGTTATTCACTGCGTTAGCACACTCCGCCAACCCTGATGTTCTAGCAGTGTCTGAATCCTGGCTCAGGAAGGCCACCAAAAATTCTGAAATTTCCATCCCCAACTATAACATTTTCCGTCTAGATAGAACTGCCAAAGGGGGTGGAGTTGCAATCTACTGTAGAGATAGCCTGCAGAGCTCTATCATACTATCCAGGTCTGTGCCCAAACAGTTTGAGCTTCTACTTCTAAAAATCCACCTTTCCAGAAATAAGTCTCTCACTGTTGCCGCTTGCTACAGACCCCCCTCAGCCCCTAGCTGTGCCCTGGACACCATATGTGAATTGATTGCCCCCCATTTATCCTCAGAGTTCGTACTGCTTGGTGACCTAAATTGGGATATGCTTAATACCCCAGCCATCCTACAATCCAAACTAGATGCCCTCAACCTCACGCAAATTATCAACGAACCTACCAGGTACAACCCTAAATCCGTAAACATGGGTACCCTCATAGATATCATCCTGACTAACATATCCTCTAAATACACCTCAGCTGTCTTCAACCAGGATCTCAGCGATCACTGCCTTATTGCCTGCGTCCGTAACGGGTCCGCGGTCAAACGACCACCCCTCATCACTGTCAAACGCTCCCTAAAACACTTTAGCGAGGAGGCCTTCCTAATTGACCTGGTCCCAGGTATCCTGGATGGATATAGATCTCATTCCGTCAGTAGAGGATGCCTGGTTGTTCCTTAAAAGTAATTTCCTCTCAATCTTAAATAAACATGCCCCATTCAAAAAATACAGAACTAAGAACCGATATAGCCCCTGGTTCTCCTCAGACTTGACTGCCCTTGACCAGCACAAAAACATCCTGTGGCGTACAGCATTAGCATCAAATAGCCCCCGCGATATGCAACTTTTCAGGGAAGTTAGGAACCAATATACACAAGCAGTCAGGAAAGCAAAGGCTAACTTTTTCAAACAGAAATTTGCATCCTGTAGCACTAACTCCAAAAAGTTTTGGGACACTGTAAAATCCATGGAGAATAAGAGCACTTCCTCCCAGCTGCCCACTGCACTGAGGCTTGGAAACACTATCACCACCGATTAATCTACAATAATCGAGAATTTCAACAAGCATTTTGCTACAGCTGGCCATGCTTTCCATCTGGCTACCACTACCCCGGCCACCAACTCTGCACCCTCTGCTGCAACTTGCCCATGCCCCCCCCCGCTTCTCCTTCACACAAATTCAGACAGCTGATGTTTTGAAAGCGCTGCAAAATCTGGACCCTACAAATCAGCTGGGCTAGACAATCTGGACCCTTTCTTTCTAAAACTAGCCGCCGAAATTGTCGCAACCCCTATTACTAGTCTGTTCAACCTCTCTTTCATAACGTCTGAGATCCTCAGAGATTGGAAAGCTGCCGCGGTCATCCCCCTCTTCAAAGGGGGTGAAATTCTAGATCCAAACTGCTACAGACCTATATCCATCCTGCCCTGCCTTTCGAAAGTATTTGAAAGGCAAGTTAACAAACAGATCACCGACCATTTCGAATACCACCGTACCTTCTCCGCTATGCAATCCGGTTTCCGAGCTGGTCATGGGTGCACTTCAGCCACGCTCAAGGTCCTAAACGATATTATAACCGCGATTGATAATAGACAGTACTGTGCAGCCGTCTTCATCGACCTGGCCAAGGCTTTCGACTCTGTCAACCACCGCATTCTTATTGGCAGACTAAATAGCCTTGGTTTCTCAAATGACTGCCTCGCCTGGTTCACCAACTACTTCTCAGATAGAGTTCAGTGTGTCAAATCGGAGGGCCTGTTGTCTGGACCTATGGCAGTCTCTATGGGGGTGCCACAGGGTTCAATTCTTGGGCCGAACACTTTTCTCCGTGTATATCAATGATGTCGCTCTTGCTGCTGGTGACTCTCAGATCCACCTCTACGCAGACGACACCATTTTGTATACATCTGGCCCTTCATTGGACACTGTGTTAACAAACCTCCAAACGAGCTTCAATGCCATACAACACTCCTTCAGTAGCCTCCAACTGCTCTTAAACACTAGTAAAACTAAATGCATGCTTTTCAATCGAACGCTGCTGGCACCCGCCCACCCGACTAGAATCACCACTCTCGACGGGTCTGACCTAGAGTATGTGGACAACTACAAATACCTAGGTGTCTGGTTAGACTGTAAACTCAACTTCCAGACTCACATAAAGAATCTCCAATCCAAAGTTAAATCTAGAATCGGCTTCCTATTTCGCAACAAAGCCTCCTTCACTCATGCTGCCAAACATGCCCTCGTAAAACTGACTATCCTACCGATCCTTGACTTCGGCGATGTCATTTACAAAATAGCCTCCAACACTACTCAGCAAATTGGATGTAGTCTATCACAGTGCCATCCGTTTTGTCTCCAAAGCCCCATACACTACCCACCACTGTGACCTGTACGCTCTTGTTGGCTGGTCCTCACTACATGTTCGTCGTCAAACCCACTGGCTCCAGGCCATCTATAAATCACTGCTAGGCAAATCCCCGCCTTATCTTAGCTCATTGGTCACCATAGCAGCACCCACCCGTAGTCTGCGCTCCAGCAGGTATATCTCACTGGTCATTCCCAAAGCCAACACCTCCTTTGGCCGCCATTCCTTCCAGTTCTCTGCTGCCAATGACTGGAACGAATTGCAAAAATCTCTGAAGCTGGAGACTCTTATCTCCCTCAATAACTTTAAGCATCAGTTGTCAGAGCACCTTACCGATCACTGCACCTGTACACAGCCCATCTGAAATTAGCCCACCCAACTACCTCATCCCTATATTGTTATTTATTTTGCTCTTTTGCACCCCAGTATCTCTATTTGCACATAATCTCTTGCACATCTAGCATTCCAGTGTTAATACTATTGTAATTATTTTGCACTATAGCCTATTTATTGACTTACCTCCATAACTTGCTACATTTGCACACACTGTATATATATTTTCTGTTGTATTTTTGACTTTATGTTTTTACCCCATATGTAACTCTGTGTTGTTTTTATTGCACTGCTTTGCTTTATCTTGGCCAGGTCGCAGTTGTAAATGAGAACCTGTTCTCAACTGGCTTACCTGGTTAAATAAAGGTGAAATAAATAAAAATAAAAAATAAAAAATACTGTTGGCCTTGCAGTGGGTGGAGGAAGTCAAACCAGACTTAGTAGTTATTTGCTCTGATTAATGTGCAGTGTTGATGAGGCTCCAGTTCTATAGCTCATGTAGCAGAAAATACCTGCTTTATGAGGTGCTACAAACCCATGGCAGGGTTAGACAGATGGGTATACAGATAAGATTTACTTAGGTCCCAGCTCATGTGGGGGTGGAGGGGAATGAGGCAGTTGATGTACTGACTAAACAAGCACTTAGTAGTGGGGATGTTGAGGTTGTAGTTTCAATGAGCAAGGCAAAAAGCCTGAAATGGATGGTGCACCAGTGATGGTGCAGAGATGGCAGGAGCAGTGGAATAGAGAAAATAAGGGAAGGCATTTATTTCAAGTACAGAGGAAAGTCAGGGAGGGGAGGACGCAGGAAGGGACAGAAGAGAGGAGGCTATTTTTACAAGATTAAGGGTGGGACACAGCCGGTTGGAGAAGACCTTAAAGTGATAGGAAAGCATCCAACAGGAAAGTGTGATTATTGCCAGGAAACAGAGACCGTGGAGCGTGTATTGCTTCAGTGTGGGCAGTATCAGAGGGAAAGAGAGAGGCTGAGCTCTCGTATGAGGGAGAAGGGGATACTGGACATTATTTTAAGGAGTATGTTGAGTAGAACATCATTAGAGATAGTCTCAAATATTTTGTTACGGGCTGGCAGGTAGGATTTTGTTTCTCCCTGTCTCTGGCCCACACTCCAGTACAGTAGGTTGCGGTAATGCACCATAACGTTGGATGCCAATCGCCGATAAACCCCACTGAAGAAGAAGAAGAAGCAAGCCGGTGTTTGGAGGATATGTTGGCACGGGTGTTGTTAGGCCCGAGACGAGGGCATTATCACTTTTATACAACGGGTTACCAACATATTCAAATATAGATTAACATATTTTCATTAAAAACGTTGTTTTGATGAATTTAATCTTACTATTTCATCATTCCATGAGATATAGTCCCAACACAAATCTAGGGTTGCTATCCAAGCCGGCTGGTCGGTCGTTCTATCGGTTCGGTTGTCAGAGACGCGACCTAGTCGTTAAGTCTTTTTGTTTTAAATCTATGGACGCGACCCAGTCGTTCGTTCTAAATGTTCCGTTGCCATAATGGCTGGCAACGTTCTTATCCCTTGCTCGCTAGCTAGCAAACTTTGGCTAACACAGTCACGTCAAACAGTGTAGCCATAATAGTAGCAAAGTAGCTGAATTTACGTTGGTTTAAGCTGTTTTCTAGTGATTTTGGGGGGGAGACATCCATAGCAATGAACTAATGATTTGCGATTTCGCCTGGCACAGAACATTTGCTCTCTCGCCAGGCCACTGTTCAGAAGAGATAGCCAACTACACAGCTAACACAATCACTTAAAACTGAAAATGGAATGACAGCAAACTAGCTGCATTTCGTTTCATTTTACCTGTTTTCTATTGACATTCTTTGTATCCATAAAATTAATGCCAGCTGATTTATGATTTCAACTGGCTGAGAAAAGCTGCCTGTCTGTCTCGTCCCGACTCCTGACATGTTCATTATAATGGGACAGCTGTAGATCGAATTTCAATATTGAAACAATGCTGCAAATGTCAGAGACAGACACCAAGGTTTATACAAATCTCCGCTGTTGAAAATCAAATGCTAGTCTAAAAGAAATGGGAGATAATGTCTAAATGCTTTTTATAGTGGAGAACAAGTTTATAAATTGCCTGGCTGGGCTGATGAGACAGTGGATTGCGCAGTGAGAATGGACAGAGTAAATAGGCATTTCAACGTCATAGTTTAGCTAGTGGTAACTTGTGGAATAGACACCGGCTGGAATGTGGTTTTAACCAATTAGCATCCAGGATTAGACCCACCGTTGTATAACAGACCATATACCACGGGTATGACAAAACATATATTTGTACTGCTCTAATTACATTGTTAGCCAGTTTCTAATAGCAATAAGGCACCTCGGGGGTTTGTGGTGTATGGCCAATATACCACGGCTAAGGCCTGTTCGTACACACGACGCAACGCGAAGTGCCTGGATACAGCCCTTAGCCATGGTAAATTGGCCATATACCACACCCCCTCGGGCCTTATTAGTTAAATAGACACTGGCTGGAATGCGTTTTTAACCAATCAGCATCCAGGATTAGACCCACCCGTTGTATAACAGTACTTACCATCCTCATCACTCACTCACTCACTCTTTCTCTGTCTCTCAGTGGACTGCTGGGATGGACCAGACGGGGAACCTATCGTCCATCATGGCTACACCCTGACGTCCAAGATCCTCTTCAAAGACGTCATTGAAACCATTAACAAATATGCCTTCACAAAGAATCAGTGAGTACCTTTATTTTGTCACGATGTCCTGCCCAGGTATAGATAGCAATAGAAAACCATTCATGGGCAACACACATTCCAATATGTTATGCCATACATCCCTAGGTACCCAGTGATCCTATCCATAGAGAACCATTGCACAGTTCCCCAGCAGAAGAAGATGGCTGAGTATCTGATGGAGGTGCTCCAGGATAAGGTGGACCTGTCTACGGTCAATGTGAATGAATTCAGAAAGCTGCCCTCCCCAGAGCTCCTGAAAGGGAAAGTTCTAGTCAAGGTAAAGCCATATTTCTTTATCAATGTGCTGTGCAACCAATAGTAGCAGTCAGTCATTTCCATAGTGGCGATTTCCAAATCATAAAACTTTACCCAAATAAAACAACATTACAGAACACCTTCTGTGAAAATATTAATGTAATAAACAGACTGGTTGTTATTCCTCAGGGAAAGAAGCTTCCAGCGAACATTGACGATGATGCAGAGGAGGGGGATGTGTCGGATGAAGACAGTGAGGAAGAGGAAGAGGAGGATGAAGATGACAGCCAGATAAACACAGATGTAAGGACATTACTACCGTTTAGCTAAAATAGACTGAGGGTAAAATATAAATGTGTCAATGAGTAAAACTATCCCAGGTCATTTGTCATGTTCCTAAAGCCCCTCTAGGTGGCATAATACCCAAATGTGTGGCATCAATGAGTGTCTCATTCCTGTAAGCCCAGTGCCCTTATTCTTTGGGGATATCTGAAAACGATTTCAAGTCATGGCTGTTTGACAGTGGATGTTATGTGAATTTCATGTGTTTCAGTTTACCTAGTTACAAATATCTGATTGCTGTACTTTTTTGCTGACTTCAGAGAACAAAGAAAAGCATACCTCATGATTTTATCAGGTGCTTTGTCATAAGATGATGCCAAAGCCATTAGGATTTCCATCAGACAGTGAGATAGCTAGTTGGCTGATTGATTGTGTATGCATGGAGTCTAGAGTCTTGAATATGTTTGACTATTTAAGGGGAACGCTGCTGGCACTGCAGATGAATCCAAACCCAAGAAACGCAGGTCTATCATGGGCAGCTTCAGACGCAAGGTCAGCCTATTCTCTCATACTACGTCCTAACCCGGTCTTCGCTTCACCACGCTTTCCAATCATGCTTATGCAAATGAACATCGCTCCACTTCACCATTCCTTCCGCCATGCAAATTAGTCTTACAGTGAGGGAAAAAAGTATTTGATCCCCTGCTGATTTTGTACGTTTGCCCACTGACAAAGACATGATCAGTCTATAATTTTAATGCTAGGTTTATTTGAACATTGAGAGACAGAATAACAACAACAAAATCCAGAAAAACGCATGTCAAAAATGTTATAAATTGATTTGCATTTTAATGAGGGAAATAAGTATTTGACCCCTCTGCAAAACATAGTACTTGGTGGCAAAGCCCTTGTTGGCAATCACAGAGGTCAGACGTCTCTTGTAGTTGGCCACCAGGATTGCACACATCTCAGGAGGGATTTTGTTCCACTCCTCTTTGCAGATCTTCTCCAAGTCATTAAGGTTTCGAGGCTGACGTTTGGCAACTCGAACCTTCAGCTCCCTCCACAGATTTTCTATGGGATTAAGGTCTGGAGACTGGCTAGGCCACTCCAGGACCTTAATGTGCTTCTTCTTGACCCACTCCTTTGTTGCCTTGGCCGTGTGTTTTGGGTCAATGTCATGCTGGAATACCCATCCACGACCCATTTTCAATGCCCTGGCTGAGGGAAGGAGGTTCACACCCAAGATTTGACGGTACATGGCCCCGTCCATCGTCCCTTTGATGCAGTGAAGTTGTCCTGTCCCCTTAGCAGAAAAACACCCCCAAAGCATAATGTTTCCACCTCCATGTTTGACGGTGGGGATGGTGTTCTTGGGGTCATAGGCAGCATTCCTCCTCGTCCAAACACGGCGAGTTGAGTTGATGCCAAAGAGCTCGATTTTGGTCTCATCTGACCACAACACTTTCACCCAGTTCTCCTCTGAATCATTCAGATGTTCATTGGCAAACTTCAGACGGCCCTGTATATGTGCTTTCTTGCGGGCGCTGCAGGATTTCAGTCCTTCACGGCGTAGTGTGTTACCAATTGTTTTCTTGGTGACTATGGTCCCAGCTGCCTTGAGATCATTGACAAGATCCTCCCGTGTAGTTCTGGGCTGATTCCTCTCCGTTCTCATGATCATTGCAACTCCATGAGGTGAGATCTTGCATGGAGCCCCAGGCCGAGGGAGATTGACAGTTATTTTGTGTTTCTTCCATTTGCGAATAATCGCACCAACTGTTGTCACCTTCTTACCAAGCTGCTTGGCGATGGTCTTGTAGCTCATTCCAGCCCTGTGTAGGTCTACAATCTTGTCCCTGACATCCTTGGAGAGCTCTTTGGTCTTGGCCATGGTGGAGAGTTTGGAATCTGATTGATTGATTACTTCTGTTTAAGAGTGTGCTCCTAATCTCAGCTCGTTACCTGTATAAAAGACACCTGGGAGCCAAAAATCTTTCTGATTGAGAGGGGGTCAAATACTTATTTCCCTCATTAAAATGCAAATCAATTTATAACATTTTTGACATGCGTTTTTCTGAATGTTTTTGTTGTTATTCTGTCTCTCACTGTTCAAATAAACCTACCATTAAAATTATAGACTGATCATTTCTTTGTCAGTGGGCAAACGTACAAAATCAGCAGGGGATCAAATACTTTTTTCCCTCACTGTACCTCACCAGCACAAATGCAAATCACAAACTCCCTTCACCACCCCCTTTACCAACACTAGTGTGTGAAACTAGTCATTGTCATCATAGGCCTGCATCAGCTTTTCTGTGTGATTTCCCTGACAGTGCAGTGTATTGCTTTGAGAGACATGTTCTACTGCTCTAACATCTTTCCATACTCTGGTTATAATAGAAATGTCCCCATCTGGAAGACCCTTGTTGCACTAAATGCTGACTGTTCATGTCTTGTATTTAGAGGAAAAAGAAGAAGAAAAAGAAGCTAATGCTTAATTTAGACCATGCGGACCAAGAGAACCCCATCATGAGAGACAAAACACAAATTGTGTACCACAACAAGTAAAGCCATTCAAACATGACATACTGTTATCAAACCATTTACTTGAACTTTTAAACATTGATCCATGCATCCACTTATCTCTGCCCATCCCCTATTCACCCACAGGAAAGGGAAGACGATGAGGTTATCCCGAGCCCTGTCTGACCTCGTCAAGTACACCAAGTCTGTCCGGGTCCATGACATTGAAACACAAGGTAGTATCCACGTTCAAACAAAGTAATTTCTGCTTAATTCAACAATATCACAAGTTCTTTCAGCATGGGAGTCATTCTACCTCTTGGTTGTCAGTGTGTTTGAACCTATGTGTTTTCTGGTTGGCAGCTTATATGACCAGTTGGCAAGTGTCTTCCCTCAATGAGAGCATTGTGAACCAGATCATGGCTCTGAAGCCAGCTCAGTTGGTGCGATTCAACCAGAGACAGCTACTACGTGTTTACCCCTCCAACTACCGTGTGGACTCTAGCAACTTCAACCCACAGCCCTTCTGGAACGCAGGATGCCATATGGGTAAGAGACCCTGCTCATACAATACCTTAAGGGTGCTTTGCTTTGCTTTGCTTATAGAGAAAAACAAGACAGTCTAGAGGCAAATATCTCAACTTCAGTCTGATTCAGAACAGTGGTCGTACTCTAAAATATATTTCTTGTCTTGTGTTATCTTTTCAGTTGCACTGAATTACCAAACAGAGGGCCGCATGCTTGAACTGAACAGAGCCAAGTTCTCAACCAATGGCAACTGTGGATACTTACTGAAGCCCAGGTGCATGAATAAAGGTGGGTACTATTAGAAAACAAGGGTAACTGTAGTTGAAGCCAAAATGCAGACATGAGCAAACTGATTATACAATTAAACACTATAAATGCACAGTAGTTGTTTCTCGGACTAAGAGTTTGCTGGCTGAATGTTGCCCTCTGTGTTGCCCAGGTTTCTTTAACCCTACGCTGGAGGACCCTCTGCCAGGACAGAAGAAGACTCAATTGGTACTGAAGATCATCAGTGGGCAGCAGCTGCCAAAACCTAAAGACTCAATGCTGGGGGATAGAGGGGAGGTGAGACATATCAGACAACCTCAATTGGCCTCTTTTATGTGAGGAGACTACAAGGCTATTTGTCTTGTCACTTGTGCGTTGTATGTGAATGTGTCCTATTTGTTGTTTTTGTAGATTATTGATCCTTTTGTAGAGGTGGAGATCATCGGTCTGCCTATTGATTGCTGTAAGCAGCAGACAAGGGTGGTGGATGACAATGGTGAGCATTGACCTCAGCTATTTAGTTTCCTTTTTTTTTTTAACAAGGTGCTCATTCAACTACGCATTTTGATATTCTGTTAAACTTCTGTTGAATGAAAAGCACTGAAAGGTTGTGGAAATGCAATTGAAGTTAATAGTCTTCCTTCTCTGTGCCATTGTAGGCTTCAACCCCATGTGGGAGGAGAGCCTGGTCTTCACCCTCCACATGACCCAGATTGCACTGGTGCGTTTCCAGGTGTGGGACCATGATCCGATAGGACAAAACTTCATTGGACAGAGGACCATAGCGTTCGTCAGCATGATGCCAGGTAAGGTAGCTGGAGGGATTAACCAGGTCTCTACTTCTTCATCAGAGAGAAGACATTTGGATCGTCATCATAACAAGTGTGCCATTATCATGGATTGCTCTGTAAAAACAAAACGCATGTGATTTTGGGATTCATGTGATAACTGGTTGATTTTACCTTATAATCTTTTTTTAAACATTTTAAGGTTATCGCCATGTCTATCTTGAGGGCATGGAGGAGGCCTCCATCTTTGTTCATGTTGCTGTAAATGACATCACAGGAAAGGTAGGCCTAAGCACTGAGTTGAGTTTTGCTTTACCTTTATTGCTGTAGTTGAAGAGTAAGGTTTAGATTTTCTTTAACATTGAGTCAATTCACAACTCACTTTCTCTTGAATTCAACACTTGTTTTCTGTCACATAGGTTAAGCCAAGTAATGCTGTAAAGGGTTTTTTGAAAAAAGCTACGAAGAAAGGGTCAGCCAAGGAGCCAAAGACGGTCTCTATGCACCTCTCCACTTACTCATCAGAGGACGTCCGTCAGCGGTACCGCAAGGACCTGGACTCCTACTCCCAGGAGAGCAGCGGGAACGGCAGCATGTTACTGACACCTGCAGGCATAGACTACCATAGAGGGACTCAGAGCGAACCACTGAAGCGAGCGCACAGGGTGCAAATTCTGGAGGAGGAAATCCAGGGTGCTTCTCCAAAGGAGGAGAAAAAGAAGGAGGGGAAAAGGAAGGAGGGGAAAAGGAAGGGCATCCTCGTCCGCATGTCCTCCACCATCTCCAACTCTGGGGCATCCATCCCGTGCATCACAGCAACAAGCCCAGACCTGGAGGATGTGTTTCAGTCGTCTCAGCCACAGAGTCCAGAACCAGAGAGCCAAATGCAGTCGTTTCAGGCAGCCTGGCCAGATCTGGAAGACCAGGTTCAGTCTTTCCATGCACACTGGCCGGGCCAGGACAACCCAGGTCAGTCATTTGAGCCTGAGTGGCCAGACCCACCTGAGATTGAGGACATAGCAGGAGAACCACTGACAAAGCTTAACAGTAAGCATGCACCCCAAACTGTATCAGAACATCTGAATCAGCCCCAACCCCAGCTCCATCCCCAGGCCCAGCCCCAGTCCCTACCCCAGACCCAGGCCCAGGCCCAGGCCCAGCCCCAGTCTGATCCTGAGGTCATTCTCCGGATCCGACACCCACCATCCTCCCCTGTCAGAGTTAGACGGACCCTGGAGACCCCAGCCAGCCAACTCCCCTCCAACACGTCACGGACAAAGGCCCGCTCTCGCAGTGTTCCACGAAAGCAGCATGCCTCCCCCATCACCCCGGTAGTTAACCGCAGGGCTGCTGTGCACTGGCAGCCTCAGACTCCTTCCCCTCCTCCCCCCCAGAACCATTGCAGCTATGGCCACAAGCCCATACCCAACGGCCTCTACCTGTCTGACAGTGACTCCAGCAGTGGTGGCAGTATAGACAGTCTGAGTCTGGAGCTCCTGCCCTCGCGCGTGCCAGTCGGTGGGCAGAGGGAAGTGGGCACCCTGCAGAGAGAGATGAATGCCCTCTTTGACCAGAAGATGAAGGAGATCCGCTGTAAATCCCCACTCTTTTTTCACGGTAAAAGTGACTCTTATTATACGATATATTATTATATTATTATATCCCAGCTAGAGAGCATGCCAATGTTAAAGACGCATTGTTTTTTGAGTCACAAAGTATGTGTACCTGTATGCTCAGATCATCGACATTACAAAATATTTTGTTGATTGATGACCCTGGAATTATAATAATGACAATTTAGTTTGCTGTGTTTTATTTCCAGATTACTCTACGCTATAGTAATCAGACACTACAAGGACCACAGCAGTGAGCAGCCAATTGGAATAAGCACGGGAGTAGGAAATACACTTGTAAACATATAGCATTACCTTGTATGTATCTAGATGTATGTACAAATTATGTCATCTCCACATTTGAGACCGAACAAGTTTATTAGTATAAGGTAATCACTATTTTTTTTGTTGATGTGGGTATTGTGATTTTGCATCATGGTGCATTTATTGTAAATAGAACGTAATACCAAAGTGAATCGTTCAGAATGGAACATACATTCATTATTAGACTGGTTTTATTGAAAGATGTGCTCTAACTTTTACATCAACATCATTCTATTACATAATGCTTTTTTATGTGTTGAGTTCTATAATAACAAAAACATTTATTTAAGTGAACTTACGGTTTTATAGTTTTGAAGGAATGTGCAAAATGTGTGCTGCCAATTGTACAAAAACAGTTAAATATTCTTAGTATCAATAATATGTAAATGTCTAATCTACTTTAAAATGAATAACTGCATAATTTAATTAATAACAGTAATATATTGCTCTCAGTATTTGTGCTGATCAAAAGTACTGAAATGTAAACTCTTTGAAACTAATTATTTTTCATAATTTACAGATGACTTGACTTGGACCTTCATGTTTAATTTCTATTTTTGCACCGCTCTTAAATCTTTCTAAATCAGTACACGTGAAATAATTTGTAACAGTAAATATACATGTTGTTTTTCTCAATAAAATATCTTAAACATAATACTGTAGTATTGTTAATTTACTCCACCTCTTTAGTATGTTATTTATTACTCTGTTAATTAACAAATATCATATAACAGCCTGGAAATAGTCTGTAAGCATTTCTGATACACAGTGTTTCTTTGTGGTTCAAAAACGTATCTAGAACCAAACTCATGTCAAGACCTGCATAGTGACATTTGCTTTGTTAGGCCATATATAATAGTGTCTCTACTATCATTTCTACTCATGCTTTGTCTTTGTCTGCAGTTTCCTGGTTTCTCTTCTTGTTGGTGGTGGTGGTCCTCAAGCGCTGACTCAGTTCATCAGACAACACTGTGCAATATGATTTCTGTGGGGAGCAAATTGGAGCGATATGTAGAGCAATCTTGACCAGGCAATATGCTTATCTATTCATATTGAATATTCCCACAATCCACCACTCTTAATTAAACCAGCAGTGAAAGTCTAAGTGTTAGACTGTGTGAGTGCGTGCGTATGTGTCGCTCACCCTCTGCTCCGCAGCATTGCTCCGGGACTTGGCGGTGAGCTCCAGGACAGCCAGCAGCACCCCCAGCCCCAGGCCCAGGGCCAGCACCAGGAACATGCCCTTCAGGCTGTGGGGCTGCAGAGGGGAAACCTTGGCTGGGTCTGCCATGCAACTGCTGGCCCACCATTTACTGCGCAGGTAAGCCAACTCCCCTGCCTCACTCAGCTCCAGGATGGCCACACTGAGGTTCTTCAGCATGGGAGAGCCTGGATGACACAAACAGTACCATTTGCACATCAGCTGGCTTGTTAGAGAAAGTATTTGTGTCGCATGAATGTGGCGAGTGTAAGAACATTATCACATATAAATACAGTTCAGAGGTTTCAGTCAATATGTGTTGCCATATGATATCTCACTCCCTAGATTTGTGGCTCACCCAGGGTGCCTGCGATGCTGTACCCTCTCATGCCGATGACCTCATGAACACGGACCAGCTCACAGTGACGAGCCACCACCAAGTCCAGTAACACAGACTCTCCAATGAAGGCAAAGTTGCCCTCCTTTGCCCGGCGAACACCCTCATCCATTGATGACACAAAACTCTTGGCTCTCTCCATGTGCTCATAGATCCTGCGGTAGGTTGGGTTATTAGAGTTCTACACGTTGGAAAATAAAACCATGGACAGAGAGGAAGAGAAAGTCAGTATGCTGCTGAGAGAACTGACAGAACTGAGACACTGACACGTGAGCCTAATCATTTGAGGGCAAAGAGCGAAGGGAAAAAGAGGGGGATAGGAGGGAATGGGGTGTGGCAGGGTGCACTGGCCTCACCTTGAAGAAAGCAAGTGTGGAGGAGCCAGACAGGGTCCCATACTCAATCCCTTGCTGGTTGGCCAAGTCCTCAAACCCTTTCACCATCAGTTGATTGGAGTCTGAGCCCTGAGAGGTGCTGAGGTTGGAGAAATAACAGGCCAACAGGACCAGACTAAACAACCACCAGCTGCAGCAAATTATGCGTCCTGATAATGCTTTGGGGTGTGGACCGGCACCTGAGAATAAGAAGAAACAATACTAAATCAGAACACCAAACTACACAGACCATACACAGCTCTTGTGCTGTTGTATTGGTGTGGGTAAGCTATTGGTTGAAATGCCTGGTTAAATCCCTGTTAGTTACCCTGTAGAGTGAGGGCTCCAGCGGTGTACCACAGACTGTGGCTGACAGTGAAGCTGTTCTCCTCAGTCTGGGGTTGCCTCCACTCACATGGGCTGAGTCTGTGTTTGAAAAGGTTTGTTTAACAGTCTTTCAATTCTACTTGTCAAAGGCTCCCTCCAGGCTTAGTACATGATAAATGTATTTTCTGATGAAACTTTATCACAACAATAATTCACCTGGCTACTACATAGATGGAGATAGCGGTCCCCAGGTATGCAGCGAGGATCCCCACCCAGGTCTCTACTGAGAAGGGGATCAGGAAGTCAAAGAAGCCAGCCTCTACTGAGATGTCTTTCCTCAGGAGAATGCTGATGCCTGTCTGCATGAAGGGTTTGGTCATCCCTACAGCCTTCTCCCGGGCAGCAGTGAGGGTCAGAGGAGCAATCGCCAGGTCTGCCTCCTACAGGGATACGAATATATATTTATATTTTACATTTGCTTTTTATCTGGATTAATAACTTCCCACATGGTTATAGTCACATTAGAATGGACATTATTCATCTTAAGCAGACATGTGAGCAGTTGTTCAGCACTGTAATCACTTATCTATGAAAATGTTAGCTTTCCTCACCTTTCTCACCACCTCTCCAATCATCCCATTCCAGGCCCCACTCTCATCCTGCCTGCCATAGGACCCATCTTTCACCAGGTGCACGTTGTATTTAAAGTCCAGTTTCTTTGCCAGCTCAGACAGCAGGTCCATGCAGTAACCTTCCAGCTGAGAGCCTTTGGATATGGTGTATGGATCTTGCTGAAGGATGAGGCACAGAAGAACCATTCCGACTTCTGAATCATCATCAGTCATATTTATAAAGCAGCAAATGGTTTGTAATTGAGTAGAAAATGGTTGCAGCGAATAAAGTAGAGTGACAGAAACATGCACCCTTTAATTACCTTTATTGTAGTGATTGTCAAGTCTGGTCGCATTGCTAGAGGAAAATATATATTAGTGAGATATAGAGGTTATCTTGATTCACCCACATCCAAATCAAAGAGGAAGATAAACTAATTTAAGTTGCATTTGAACATGGCCAATGACATCCTTAGGTAAATCAATTATGATTCACAGCATCTCCAACAGCGGAGCATTGTGAGTGCTTTCTAAATACATCAATGCATCAATATGTCATTTCAACTGAATAAAGGCATATACACGAGGACAACAACGTACATGCTGACACACTGAACAGAGAGAGGAAAGGGCACCGGCAGACCTTCATCGGCATTGAAGCATTGCCAAAGCGTCTTTCTGGTCCCACTGGCTCAACATCACTGAGTCACAAATGTTTTTCTTTCATTTGGAGTGCAATTGGAGTGCCTTACAAATTCAGCAGGCGGATTCAAAGAGCTCTTTGTGCTGTGGCCATCTTTAGCCCTCATACCCTGAGTCAGTGACCCCTTTGCAGATAGTGAGAGGTAAATCAAATCAAATCAAATTGTATTTGTCACATGCGCCGAACACAACAGGTGTAGACCTTACCGTAAAATGCTTACTTACAAGCCCTTAACCAACAATGCAGTTCAAGAAATAGAGTTAAGAAAATATTTAATAAATAAAAAGTAACACAATAAAATAACAATAACGAGGCTATATACAGGGGGTACCGGTACTGAGTCAATGTGCGGGGGTACAGGTTAGTCGAGGTAATTTGTACATGTAGGTAGGGGTAAAGTGACTATAGATAATAAACAGCGAGTGGGGGTGGCTGTCAATGTAAATAGTCTGGGTGGCCATTTCATTAATTGTTCAGCAATCTTATGGCTTAGGGGTAGAAGCTGTTAAGGAGCCGGTGATCAGGTGTTGGAGTCATGCTTGGCCACGCAGTCGTGGGTGAACAGAGAGTACAGAAGGGGACTAAGCACTCACCCCTGAGGTGCCCCAGTGTTGAGGATCAGCGTGGCAGATGTGTTGTTGCCTACCCTTACCACCTGGGGTCGGCCCGTCAGGAAGGCCAGGATCCAGTTGCAGAGGGAGGTGTTTAGTCCCAGGGTCCTTATCTCAGTGATGAGCTTTGTAGGCACTATGGTGTTGAACGCTGAGCTGTAGTCAATGAACAGCATTCTCACATAGGTGTTCCTTTTGTCCAGGTGGGGAAGGGCAGTGTGGATTGCGATTGAGATTGCGTTATCTGTGGATCTGTTGGTGCGGTATGCAAATTGGAGTGGGTCTAGGGTTTCCGGGATGATGGTGTTGATGTGAGCCATGACCAGCCTTTCAAAGCACTTCATGGCTACCGATGTGCGTGCTACGGGGCGGTAGTCATTTAGGCAGGTTACCTTTGCTTTCTTGGGCACAGGGACTATGGTGGTCTGCTTGAAACATGTAGGTATTACAGACTCGGTCAGGGAGAGGTTAAAAATGTCAGTGAAGACACTTGCCAGTTGGGGGTGCATTGATGCCTTCTTAGTCATCACAACTGGTTTCCGGCATCCCAGAGAGCTGGCCACTCTCCTTTCCCTCTTGAAAGTGTTCAAAACCCCCAAGATCTATTTACAGCCATAATCCAGTTTGTGAGTTATTTCAAGCAATCACAAAGCCATGGCACTGTGGGGTGGGAGGGCAGTCAAAGAGTATCAAAAGCCTTGATTCAGGCTAAGGCCTCAGGGCTCCCTCAATACCATAGGGCGATCCTGACACACATCAGCTCCTCCTATTCAAAATGTGACACCCATACAAGCTCTTCATGGGCCCTGTCACTTTTAGGCTACACTTAAACACAAGGCTCCTTGTTTGTTGCATTGAATTGATTTATTACCATTTTTGTGAGCATGTCAGCTGGCTCGCTTCTTTTTCTATCAGAGTGATGTGTGTATGCCAGACAGGATGCGGCCCCTCTCTTTGATGCCATGCCCAGCTGACAGTCTCCTCATTGATAACTCGTCAAGCCCTAAGAAACTCTACCAGGTCAAGCAGAGAGAACATGAGGAGTCTGGCACCAAAATAAGCATATACACTGCCACACTGCCACCACACAAGTGCATCGACCGGTTACAGTCTTTTTACATTTTCTCATGTTTTCTCGTGAATCTAGCCTGAGTGACGGTCTGTTTCTGTTATCATGCCAATCAGAGGTGGACTTAGCTATGTTTCGTAGGTTTCAAATGAAATGGTACGTCAGCTGCCCAGGGGACTGATTGATTGATTGATTTACACTGACTGATTTACACAAATGTCAGTTAGTCACTAATTCAACAGATTTATAAGGCCTATGCATAAACATTTCAATTGTGGGATAATAATAATAATCAAGGAGTAAATGTATGGGGGAAATGTCTCCTTTGGGTGTTAGGGGGCCACTCAATAGAATTTGAAATGGGCCCCCAAATTGCTATGTCTGCCCCTGATGCCAACTTCTAGTCACTTATTGTCATACCAAACAAATCCTCTATTTTATTCTCGACCTCATTAGTGGTCATTAATGATTGAGCATTGCTTTGAGGCCAGATTGTTTGGCTTGACAATAACAGCATTGGGACCAGGTTATGGTGAATCACATGCACGTCAAGATTCCTGTTTTACACAGTTTTGCTTGTTTTAGTGACAGACAAACAGACAAAGCACTAACTGGGTTTCTAAGCACAGTAAGATGTACATTAAACAGCGTATTACCCGCAGCACAGCTCCTTAGGGACAGTAGAAGCACCACGGTGCACATGATGACACCCAACAGCACCCTCATGGTTTCACCTCGGATCCTAATGATGTAGTAGTATCAACGTGATTTCACAAACTATTACATTCAGAGAACAAAAAAACAAACGTAGTACTCAAATTGAACAGCGGACTAAAAATGCCGTAGGTATGAAGCATGGATATATTACATCTATGACAATACACAAATGAAAGAGATCTCCATACCTGACAAGATTGTTAGCTGTAAAGTGAGTCGGCTGTGTTGAGGCTTCCAGCTATAGACTGATCCTGATGAACTAGGGCAAATGATGATGAGAAATATTCATCCCAACACAACAGAGCTGCTAAAACAGCCAATGGACTTTTTGTGGGTGGAGAATGAGTTTGTCCCCTGTGACTGTGCCACTTAATATGTTTGGAAGATTCAAACACAGGATTACCCATATTCAAGCCTGTATTACAGGCTGTTATAATTTAGAACATTCTGGACAATTGGAAATCGTATAACCAATGTTATCTGCCCAATTGCTTGCTGGTTTGAAGTTAACCTCAGATTTACACCTTCTTACAGAGCAAGGCTCTAGGCTTTAGACCAGCTGGTGAGTATAGTATGGAAGTTCATTCCTGACACCAAAAAAAGTAAATCTGACTATGAGTTATCAGATAGTAAGTCATAATTATGAGATAGTAAGTCAAAATTATGAGATAGTAAGTCATTATGAGATACGTTTAGGTGATGTCTATCACATGAATCCAATGTGAACTTTGCATCAGGCCCTCCTCAATTTACAAGGATAACCTTATGTACAGTGCATTTGGAAAGTTACAGCCTTATTGTAAAATTGATAAAATTGAATTTTTTTCCTCATCAATCTACACACAATACCCCATAATGACAAAGCAAATACAGGTTTAAAAAATATTCTCACATTTATTAAAACCACAAAACTGAAATATCATATTTACATAAGTATTCAGACCCTTTACTCAGTACTTTGTTGAAGCACCTTTGGCAGCGATTACAGCCTTGAGTCTTCTTGGGTATGACACTACAAGCTTGGCACACCTGTATTTGGGGAGTTTCTCCCATTCTTCTCTGCAGATCCTCTCAAGCTCTTGGATGGGGAGCGTTGCTGCACAGCTATTTTCAGGTCTCTCCAGAGATGTTAGACCGGGTTCAAGTCCGGCCTCTGGCTGGGCCACTCAAGGACATTCAGAAAATTGTCCTGAAGCCACTCCTGCGTTGTCTTGGCTGTGGGCCTTCGCCCCAGTCTGAGGTCACGGCGCTCTGGAGAAGGTTTTCATCAAGGATCTCTCTGTACTTTGCTCCGTTCATCTTTGCCTCGACTAGTCTCCCAGTCCCTGCCGCTGAAAAACATCCCCACAGCAAGATGCTGCCACCACCATGCTTCACCGTAGGGATGGTGACAGGTTTCCTCCAGACTTGACACTTGGCATTCAGGCCAAAGAGTTCAATCTTGGTTTCATCAGACCAGAGAATCTTGTTTCTCATGGTCTGAGAGTCTTTAGGTGCCTTTTGGCAAACTCCAAGCGGGCTGTCATGTGCCTTTTACTGAGGAGTGGCTCCCATCTGGCCACTCTACCATAAAGGCCTGATTGATGAAGTGCTGCAGAGATGGTTGTCCTTCTGGAAGGTTCTCCCATCTCCACAGAGGAACTCTAGAGCTCTGTCAGAGTGACCATCGGGTTCTTGGTCACCTCCCTGACCAAGGCCCTTCTCCCCCGATTGCTCAGTTTGGCTGGGTGGCCAGCTCTAAGAAGAGTCTTGTTAGAAACTTCTTCCATTTAAGAATGATGGAGGCCACTGTCTTCTTGGGGACCTTCAATGCTGCAGAAATGTTTTGGTACCCTTCCCCAGATCTGTGCCTCGAAAAAATCAATTTCAGAATAAGGCTGTAACGTAACAAAATGTGGAAAAGTCAAGGGGTCTGAATACTTTCCGTAGGCACTGTATATCCTATAGTCAATCACACATTGTGTGTGTGTGTGTGTGTGTGTGAGTGTGTGTGTGTGTGTGTGTGTGTGAGAGAGAGAGAGAGAGAGAGAGAGAGAGGGATTGGAGAGTTTTGTTGATTTGATTTGATGCCTGTTTGATGACATCTGGTTGACATCAGATTGAATTAATTCATTAATTCAATTCAATCCATTAAAGCGGCAACCTGGGATTGGTACATCAATTTTTGGACTTTAATATATAGCCATTGATTCTTGAAGAATGTAACTTAGAAAGGCCTCATGAGCAACGGTCCATCAATCAGAACCCCAAATATAAGCTTGTTTTACTCCATTGTTCGTAAACAATGTAATTGTAAACACACACAGTATAGCTTCAAAACATGGTTAAAACTATCATTTTGATCTCATGGATGGTCAGTCCTTGCATCCATATGTTAGCGTCATTGCATCTATTTGTTTGAAAGTGGTTACATTTCTCCTGCCCCATTCCTCAGCTGTTTACCAAATAAGGTCGCGGGGAGTTGCCTTGCTATTGTTTGACTCCAAGATTGCCACTTTAACGGGGGTGGACCTGCAAGACTATTCAATGTCCATGATCCAGACTTGCTATCTCATAATTATGACTTACTATATCATCATTATGATTTACATATTTTATAATAATGACTTACTTACTCATAATTATGACTTACTATCTCATTATAATGACTTACAATCTCATATTTTACCTTACTATCTCATAACTCGTATTTAGATATATTTTATTTGGTGGTGGGAATGGGCGCATGTTTTTTTTTGTTAAGTTGACAAACGAAAGGGGGTGGGAATGTTTATAGTATAAACAGTGAAGGGAGCTGGCTGGTTCAGTTGCATGTCGCTTTCATTCTTACATTTCAAACTCTTGCCTGCAGATATTCCCCCCTTTATGAAATCTATATCTATTTATATATATATGGAATACATTGTGACAAGTTGAGAAACTATGCAGAAATAGCCTAGAAATAGGCATAGCCTACATTGTGCACCTTGTTCACCTATTTAACCATACAGTTGAAGTATGAAGTTAACATACACCTTAGCCAAATACATTTAAACTCAGTTTTTCACAATTTCTGACATTTAATCCTAGTAAGAATTCCCTGTTTTAGGTTAGTTAGGATCCCCACTTTATTTTAAGAATGTGAAATATCAGAATAATAGTAGAGAGAGTGATTTATTTCAGATTTTATTTCTTTCATCACATTCCCAGTGGGTCAGAAGTTTACATACACTCAATTAGTATTTGGTAGCATTGTCTTTAAATTGTTTAACTTGGGTCTAAGGTTTCGGGTAGCCTTCCACAAGCTTCCAACAATAAGTTGGGTGAATTTTGGCCCATTCCTCCTGACAGAGCTGGTGTAACTGAGTCAGGTTTGTAGGCCTCCTTGCTCGCACACGCTTTTTCAGTTCTGCCCACACATTTTCTATAGGATAGAGGTCAGGGCTTTGTGATGGCCACTCCAATACCTTGACTTTGTTGTCCTTAAGCCATTTTGCCACAACCTTGAAAGTATGCTTGGGGTCATTGTCCATTTGGAAGACCCATGTGCGACCAAGCTTTAACTTCCTGACTGATGTCTTGAGATGTTGCTTCAATATATCCACATAATTTTCCTTCCTCATGATGCCATCTATTTTGTGAAGTGCACCAGTCCCTCCTGCAGCAAAGCACCCCCACAGCATGATGCTGCCACCCCCATACTTCACGGTTGGGATGGTGTTCTTCGGCTTGCAAGCAGCCCCCTTTTTCCTCCAAACATAACGATGGTCATTATGGCCAAACAGTTCTATTTTTGTTTCATCAGACCAGAGGACATTTCTCCAAAAAGTATGATCTTTGTCCCCATGTGCAGTTGCAAACCGTAGTCTGGCTTTTTTATGCCGGTTTTGGAGCAGTGGCTTCTTCCTTGCTGAGCAGCCTTTCAGGTTATGTCGATATAGGACTTGTTTTACTGTGGATATAGATACTTTTGTACCTGTTTCCTCCAACATCTTCACAAGATCCTTTGCTGTTGTTCTGGGATTGATTTGCACTTTTCGCACCAAAGTACGTTCATCTCTAGGAGACAGAACGCGTCTCCGTCCTGAGCGGTATGACGGCTGCGTGGTCCCATGGAGTTTATACTTGCGTACTATTGTGTGTACAGATGAACGTGGTACCTTCAGGCATTTGGAAATTGCTCCCAAGGATGAACCAGACCTGTGGAGGTCTACAATTTTTTTACTGAGGTCTTGGCTGATTTCTTTAGATTTTCCCATGATGTCAAGCAAAGAGGCACTGAGTTTGAAGGTAGGCCTTGAAATACATCCACAGGTACACCTCCAATTGACTCAAATTATGTCAATTAGCCTATTAGAAGCTTCTAAAGCCATGACATCATTTTCTGGAATTTTCCAAGCTGTTTAAAGGCACAGTCCACTTAGTGTATGTAAACTTCTGACCCACTTGAATTGTGATACAGTGAATTATAAGTGAAATAATCTGTCTGTAAACAATTGTTGGAAAAATGACTTGTGTCATGCACAAAGTAGATTGACCAAACTTACCAAAACTATAGTTTGTTAACAAGAAAATTGTGGAGTGGTTGAAAAACAAGTTTTAATGACTCCAACCTAAGTGTATGTAAACTTCCGACTTCAACTGTATATATCAAAAGGAATACAACTTCTAAGCAGCACTGTGTGTGGACTGCACTGAACATAACAGGTGTCAAATACTGTTGTCCGTCGATAATGAAGGCAAGGCGCGCAAAAGAGAGGTCGGGTAGTTTTTCTCAACGCTTTGCGATACTGTGTTCTCCCTTTACAACTCGATGCAATGGGTTTTCTGTGTTGGCCAATCATAATCGAATGCGCGTAGTGTACGCGGCAAAAATAGGCTGTGCTAGTTTTTTTTTCTTCCAAGGGGCGTATTTTTCAAGCCATCTTGACTGAATGTCTAGCTACATCCCAAGGTAGCTAGCTACACCAACCTGACACTTCTTACATTATTTTCTGTACCATTTAGTGTAGTTATTTGAAGTTGAAAACGTCTAAATCACAGATATGTAAGCAGGTCGAGTATGTGCATATGTCCGAAGTCACCATGGAGGACTGAAGTGCTGAAGATGACGCTGTCGCCCCTGAAATTACCGGCTAGCAATGTTGGCATAGCTTGTTACTAGCATGTCCGTTTCGGTCGTATTTCAACATTAGCTAGGTAACGTTATCTTTTTCTGGCCCGCGCATATCATAGGATCACGTTAAACAAGGTAAACACTTCCGACATTTTGGCTGACTTGTTTGTTTTTGCTTCATAAGATATGGCGCTCGTCATGTCGAGCTAAATGTGCCCTGTACAAGCTAGCTATCAAATAGTAACGTTAGCTAGTTAAAACGTTAG